TCAATATATATATATATATATATATATATATATATATATATATATATATATATATATATATATATATATGTATAATTATTATTTTCCGACTACCGCTACTTGTACACATGTTCTGCAACTTATATTTTTTTAATAATATTTACTTACTAAAATAATTATAGTAACAGTAAAAGTAATATTTTTTTTAATGGGTGATAATGGAATGGTAACCCCACCCGCGCTATCGGTATACATCGGCGGAGCACCAGTGAAGGATGATAGGTGAGGATGAAGCAGGTCAGTTAGCCCATCGTGACGAATTCAACAAGAATTGTTCACGATGGTTTCCAGGGGAAACCACGTGGAGGTCGACCTAATAGGGCATATTGTTAGCAATGGGGCTGCCAAACTCCATTGCTAACAATTCCTTTCCCCCGTGTAAAAGTAATATTGTAGGTACATATTTATATAAATGATAAAAAAAAATATGAAATTCTTCAATCTGTTTCACCGAATAATATATTAGACTTTAATTTAATTTAAAACTTCGTTTCGTAATTTTGTTAATAATTAATTTTTAATTAAAACTTAATATTCCAAAGTACGAAACGAAGGAAGACTAAAATGTCTCTAATTAGTAAACAAAACTCTTTGTTAGAATCGTGAATTCAAATTTAAGTCTTAGAGATTCTATAGTACGTACGAGGTTTGTCCGGAAAGTACGTATAAAAGTTTTTTAAAAATTTTATTTTACAATTATTCAGGTAAATCAATTTTATCCCCTTCAAAGTACTCCCCCTGTGACATAATGCACTTGTGCCAACGCCGTTTCCACTGTGAGAAGGCTCCTTGAAAGTCCTCTGGTTGTAGGTTTCTCAGCTGCCCCGTCGTAGCTTTTTTTATCTCATTTATGTCCCCCAAATGCCGCCCCCGAAGTACCAATTTGGTTTTTGGGAACAAGAAGAAGTCACACGGGGCCAAATCCGGCGAATAGGGGGGGGTTCGGTCACCGTAATGGAATTTTTACTCAAAAACTCACGGAACGATCTTGGCGCAAATTTTTTTCATTTGAAGTTCGTTTCTTAGAATTTCGTGGACCACGGTTTTGCCCAAATTAAGCTCTTCAGCCACCTGTCTGACCGTTAAACGACGGTCCCCATTAACACAAGTTCGAATTCTTTCCACGTTTTCGTCGGAATGTGAAGTGGAAGGACGTCCTGAACGTGGGTCATCTTGAACGCTTTCTCGGCCCTCTCTGAATCTTTTTAGCCACTTGTGGACGGTTGGTTCCTTCACAGCATCATCCCCATAAACTGTTCTGAGATCGGCAAAAATTTCACGGCCATTCTTGCCGAGTTTCGAGAGAAACTTGATTACGACGCGCTGCTCTTCAACGGAAGCGGGCTCCATGCCGACGGGGTTTTGTTAAGAGGTAACTTCACAGATGGCGTGACAAGCCAGTTCGCACCGCACGGCGGTCAGACCAGAACTGAAGCATTGTTAGGGACATAAGGAAGGGGTCCTGCGCTTACCTGGCCTCCCCACTCCTCTTTCTCGCATTCCAGAACACTTTTATACGAACTTTCCGGACAGACCTCGTATATAAATTGGCGTTTTAAAAGAGAGAAAACATAATAACACATATATTAGAGCGAGACAGACAAGTAGAACATTCCTGTACACAATATAAGCTCGAAACTGATTTAGCTGGAATATACTAATATATTGTATAATAAGTTCAATGATTTTTATGTTTTGAAGTGGAAATTAGTTTTAAATTAATGAAAAATTAAATAAATTTAATTAGAATAAAATGTGCTCAACCAGAATATATGATAAATTAGAGAAAAAAGAACTAGAAAATTGATCACTTTCCAGGTAACTACGCTTTGAATATTTACCTGTTTAATAAAAAATATTTTATACAATTATTAATAGAAAAACATATACAATTTAACCAAAAAAAGTTATAAATGCCAAAAAATTTAAATTAAAATTATATATTAACAAATAAGTGTATTTATTTGTGTAATTTCAATTTCATATAAATTCAGAACTGTCCCATGCACACGTTTACAAATCACGCACACTAGTGCAAGCATTTTTTTGTCTCGTTTTTATGATTGTATTGTCAATCTGTCAGTACGTAATACGTTATACCATAGAATCGTTTCATATGTTCTCTTCTTTTCATATGGTCTTTTTTTATATTTTCCTTGTCCTTTTAGTCTTATGACTCTTTTGTATGATCGCATACTAATTTTATACAAATAGTCGGTTATTTTGAATGAAAGATTACATATTATTTCCGTGACCTACTTCACGTGTACAGAACCCTTCAATCAACGTCGTGTACGGCTCTCTACGAGCGTCGGCTAGGCCGCAATTATACGATTTGCATACCTATCTAGCGCCGTCGCTTTACGCTGTTTTTGCACGCCCACCTATCGTGTGTTACGCCCTTTTTGTGTACTTACGAGAAAAAAATATACCTACTTGTTGAAAATAGGAAAACCACTTTGATTATACCGGAGGTGGCTTTGTCATAATTTTTTTTTTATTCTTACAGTATCTCTTTTTTTTATTGATTTATGATTTATATTCCTAATTACTAAGCACTCAGCAGTCAACGAGAGTAATAAGGTTATTTTTCTGGTGGAACAAATAAAATCAGCGTTTTTGTTATAATTTTTGTAAATAATATTAATCATATTATTCTACATCTGTCTATGTATCCAAACATTCAGCTAGATTGGCGACAGATGTTCCGGTGATAATTAAATCTCTTTTTTGGTGTTTTTCTAATGACATCTCGTCTGACAACCTTTTTCGACAGTGTCGAAATTATATTTTTCCTATTTTATTATTTGAAATATAAAAACACAATAGGTATTGAAAATAAATATAAAAAATTAAATCTTGACTTCTTATTCATTTCTTATTACAAATTTCGCGCCATTAAAATTATCTTTTAAAATGGTATCACAATTTCACGCCTATACAATAATTAAAAACTAGAATGAACGGTGAAAATCGCTCAAAAGTCTCTCGCAATATGTCGGAACGAGCGGTTTATTGGATTTTAGCGGAAATTTCAACGTGTGCAAACGCAAAACGAGGACAACGCAGTACTGTTTACGAATAACCCAGCGCATATCGAATTTTGATTCTGATTTGCGCTTGTGGGAACGAAACCCTATAAATGGGACAGAAGATATGTGCAAATTGAATGCAAAGCTGTATGATAGTACTTTTGTTGCATCCGTGTGTCCATTTAAAAATACAAAGCAATGTAAGCATTGCAACACTGCTAAATATTTATAGCAACATATTTTTTTAGTTTGTGGCCTGTTTTTATCTCTACTTACCTACTTTAGGTTTAAACGTTGTCTAAAAACCTTTCAACAAAAACAATCGTTACTTTTTTATTCTTGTTTAAGTGAATTAGTACCATAAACCACACATAGACTTTCGCAATTTGTCAAGATTTAGATAACCGAATTATTTAATTATTACATAAAATTACTACTGGCAAAACATAGAACAATGGCGCGTATAAAATATACGTCAGCCAGCCCAAAGTTATCTAACCATTTTTGAGAGCATTTTTGAGGCCTACTGTATCTATCAATACAAATATATCGGTATAGTTAATTTAATCAACCTACTTATAAAATATTAAAAAAATCATGAGTGCAAGACAAGTAAATCAATTCAATCTCTACGAATCTAATTTGTTTTTTTAAGTTGTAGTGATGGCAATTCAAATTTGTAAAACAATATAAGGTTAAATTGACTTGCATTATCACTATGAAAATATTTACAATAATATAATATAAAATATTATTTACAAGCTTTTACAAGTTTTTATATTAACCATAATTTATGTATTTATTTACTTTATTTTAACTGCTATTATTTTTATTATCATTTAAATTTATAAACGACTTAATCATACAATGCGAATATACATAGTTGGATGTAAGTACCAAAGGAGACCTAGACTAATCTACTATGGTCAAATAGACCATATTCTTTCTAAAGGTCCTCCTTCTCCAGAATCTCCTTCTTTCTCAAGAATCTCCATATCGTATATGAATACATGAGACAAGTTATGAAAATACAGGACGCAAGAGATGTATATAAGGATCTTTACACTCGATTCATCTGCCATTCCAAAACTTGGTGTGAAGATAAATAGATAGACGATTTACGCTACTACAGAAGCGTAATTTCAATTCAACTACGATATTTATACCATGCATAAATATCTAATGCAATAAATCCGTGTATGATACAATTGTTGGAAAACTGCAGACAGTAAAGAAAAGTGCAACGTTTCATTTACAATGCTGAATCGTGGAAACATTAAAATTCGCTGCTATCTTTGATATCCAATTGGCTCCCATTCCAAATCCCATTTCTCTTTAAAATGCTAATAAACTCACTTATCTGACAAACTGCGCAAGCTGCTTTGTCTAAAGGACGAGATTGTCGGCAATGCATCTATCAGAAATCTCACTGTAACAGAATTAAACCAAGACTTTGTAATTCTAGACTCGAATCTCGGCTCCCACTCGGATCTCGGTGCTAATTGTTGAAAAGAGGAATCGTAATAAAAGTGCTAGCCTTTGAAGCAAAGAAGCAGCCCCGGGCACCTCCACGGAGCGCATTTTAATAAATTAAAACTGCGCAAAATTCCCATTTCAATATCATTTTATTTTCCCTTTTGCGTTCCCTTCTACGAACCTCGCTCGCCTTACATTGATTCTATTTTATTTTTTTACGGAGCGGCCATCAACTCGGGCTATATTCCTTCATCCTATTAAGACGTATATTTCCGAAGACATGTTTATACATTATGTAATCATTTGAATTCGGTTAAACAAGATTGCCTAAACAAAGATTTGCGGTTCTCTTCATTCGTAATGGAATGACTTCAATGAAATTGAATTATATCCTATTCCTTTTATCTTTCTTTGTATTTGTTGTATTGCTTAATTTTTTCTTTCTCTTTTCAGGTATTTTTGATGTCCCTTGAACTTCTCGCGTGCCAAAGTGGAGCAGCAGCTCTGGCGAATTGTCCGAGTGGATGTAGCTGCAACGACGACACGCTGGTGGTAGTTTGCGAAGAGAGCCGGCTCGATGTCCTCCCCATCGCTCTCAATCCCTCCATTCAGCGGCTCATCATCCGCAACAACAAGATCAAGACAATCGACAGCTCTATGCAATTCTACGCAGAACTACAACACCTCGACCTCTCCCAAAACCACCTTGTCAACATACCCACAAAAAGCTTCGCATATCAACGCAAACTCCAAGAGTTACACCTGAACCATAACAAGATATCCTCCGTCACAAACACCACTTTCCAAGGATTAAATTCATTAACAGTTTTGAATTTAAAGAGAAATTTCTTAGAAGAACTAACAAACGGCGTTTTCTCTACACTACAAAGGCTCGAGGAACTCAATTTAGGACAAAATAGAATATCTAGGATCGAACCTAGAGCTTTCGCTGGATTAACAGCATTAAGAATTCTTTACTTAGATGACAATCAACTAAGTTCAGTGCCTACCACTTCATTTAGCTTATTAGGAAGCCTGGCCGAGTTGCATGTAGGCCTTAACGCTTTCACTTACTTACCAGATGATGCTTTTGCCGGTCTGAATAAACTGACTGTTTTAGATTTAAATGGAGCTGGACTTGTAAATATCAGCGGCAATGCTTTCAGAGGACTACCAGGATTGAGAAGTTTAAATCTAGTTGGAAATAAATTGAGTGTAGTGCCCACAATCCAGTTGTCTGGATTAACAAGACTAGAAGAACTATACATCGGACAAAACGATTTCTTGACTTTAGAAAGCCACTCGTTTAAGGGTTTGAAAAATCTGAAATTGTTAGATATCACGGGTACCGTGCAACTTGAACGAGTGGAGAAGGGAGCTTTCGAAGATAATGTTAATTTGGAGACGGTCATTTTGGCCAATAACAAGAAACTGGCCGTTATAGAAGACTGCACTTTGTTGGGCTTACCAAAATTAAAGCACGTATCGTTAAAAGACAACGCTATTGTAACAATAAGTGAAAATGTTTTTGTTGGCAAAGAATTAAGACAACTAGATTTAACAGATAATCCAATCTTATGTGACTGCCAAATAATGTGGCTTAGAGATCTATTATATGACAGAAGTAATTTCACACAAATACATTGCGCTTCCCCTGAACACTTGAAAGACAAGAACTTGAGGAATCTAAAGGCCGATGATCTCGGTTGTGCGCTGCCTGATTCACGAAAACATACTATTATTGGTTTTAGTATAGTCTTACTCGTCGCCGTGCTCTTTACACTAGTCTTCTTAATTTATAAATACCGTAAGAGTATGCAGGAGAAACTAAAAGATTATAAATGGAATAAGGGACGCAAAAATCTTGAGTACCATAAACCTATATCTACCGAGGAAGATTGCATAGTTCGAGGCATCCACCCATCCCAGTACCCTGTGGCGCCCCCACACAGGCCTATTCCTGTGACGGAACTGTAGCTAGAGCTTTACGCCTCGCCGAGCGTGTTTTTCATGTCAGGCGGCCAAGGCTCAGCACGGCGGCCGCAACGTTCGGGAGGCGGCGGCACACTGCCCGCCAACGGATTCACATACATCGGCGGCGATGCGCGACATCAACCGCTCACACTAAACAACGGGGCACCGGCTCACCACCTCAACAACGGCTCCTTACGTTCTCTTCCAGATAAAAAGAACAACCGGAACGGCGTCGTATGCCACCCGGAGAACTTCCAGCGGAATCTCGACACGCGGTATTCTCGGAAGCAAGAAAACGGGTACATACGTAACTCGGAGACGATAATTGGTTTTCCGAGAAACGACAGGGAATATGAGAGGGAGCACTCCGAATACAGCGAGCCTGAATACTCCATCATACCGGAGAACGGGTACGGGAGGTCGATCGACGACTACCCGCGCTCCTGTAGTCATTCCAACACCTTTAACTGTTGAGGACTCCCTGTGAACTCTTTCAATCGTTTGTGATCTTGTAATTCTAGCAATAAATCTTCATTCCATTAAGTTTTTCTATGGACGGAACCAGTGTGATGGGAATGTAGTGCTCTAGAGCGGTTAGTGAAATTAGTTATCGGACTCCGGTGTACGTACGACCAGTGAGGACTATCCCGTATCGTAATTCGGTTAAAAGAGTACCTTATTTGTAAATTATAAATTTAAGTAGTGATGGATCTATTTTTCAATGAGACGTTGGCGTATGAAAGTGAGACTTTCATAGAGAAAGGTACAGTACGTACGTTGTACAGACTAGTCGTGGTAAGGTAGCGGAGCCCCGCGCGCGCCACTGCGGGGCTCCCATATGATTGTACATCATACATTTGTGATTTGTATTTTTTTCCACCGGTTCGGTGGAGTTTGTATTTGATTTTGTACAAAAAACCATTCCATAAGAAAACTTTTTAATGTCTAATATTTTATTTATAAATGAATAAAGTAAGTGTGCGTTAAATAAGACACCAATATGAAAAAATATTAGATTGAATAAGTGTAAATATATTTATACTATATTGAGATATTTATAAAATTTAATACGATCTTGTTCTTCTAAAATTATCATAAATAATTTCGGGTTTTCTGATATCGTATTGTTTGCTATATCGACTGATATCCGACTAAGATTCCTTACGTCTGTCACTATTGTTACTATGCCTACCTATTTACATTAACCTTCATATTGTGTAGGTACGAGCACCCATTGTTTCAAATCAACACGTATTTTGTACGCTCGCAACTAATATTGAACTTTATTATGATGGTTATAAATATAGATATTCAATTCAGACTTCGACCGTTGTTTTGGCAATTGTGATGCCGAGTACTTGTATAGAAAAATCAATTACCAGTGAAGATTAAACTTTGCATTGCCGTCGCCATGACGACGCGAGCACGTCATATTCGCCTCAGAAGTGAAATGTGAACTTCCTTCCTTAGTTGTTAATTAATACTGTTGTTTATCTGTACATCATTACAATTAATCATTATTTTTTCACATGAAAGGTACAGGCATAGAACAGAGAAATGTCCTAATGAATTGATTATAAGAATAATGAAATTTTAATTTAGAACTAATAATATTTAATAATAAACATATTTTTTGTTGAAATCAGACTATTTGATTTTTAAAATAAAATAAAATGAGTAAAAAAATAAAAATTTTGAATTTCTCTGTTCTGTGCCTATACTCTTCACTTGGTCTTTTGAGTACTTATCTACTTACATATGTGTAAAATAGTGTGAAAATACTGTCGATTACAATTTCTTTTCACAACAGACTTATTTCAACAATAAAACTTAAAAATAATATTAAAATGTAATTTAACTTATGTTTTTTTTCAATAGACTTAAAAAAAGAAGTTCTCGATTCTGTTGTAATTATTTTTTTTATAGTCATTACTTCATAATTCCATGAACTCCATCAGTTATAAACCGATTCGGAAAATTCTTTTTGTTATCTAAAAGGATATACTTACAGATACAAAAATAGTAAATTTATCATACTCTTTAATTTTTAAATCAAATTAACTGATAATAAATATCAAAATAAAAATTATTGGCAATACATTCAAAACCAATTAAATGTTAGTCTTTCATTTTTCTTTTGAGAAACAAAGAAGAATGAAGGTATGCTTAATAAATATGAAATTGTTATTTTTTGCTATTATAAAAAAAAATCTACTAATAAAATAAATAGTTTTATATGTTGTAAGTAAGTCATTTCTTAGCAACAATATTAGGTACTACTTACCTAAAATGGAATAATACACATACAAAAAAAAAGAAAGTAAGTACATAAAAGAGGTAACTTAATTTTCACAATAACACAAAATGGTTACAACTCAGTTTAATACATAGTTTAGATCATATACATATGAATACATATTTTGTTTATAATATCTAATATATGATTATATAAATATTAAATAAAATTAATTCAATATGCCTACCTATTGTAGAAAAAGTCTGTTGTGAAACATGTCTGCTGCATTTTGAAATGAAATTTGAAAAATCGCCTACACGATATACTTACTTGAATCTTATGGTGGTATTTTGTTCATGTAAATACGGAGAAATTAAAGACTTAAGTAAACGGTGTAAGGCATGTTATTAGTGCCTACTGATGCCTAAAAAGTATACAAAGAAATCGATTAAATACATATGAAGAAAATGTGATTAGCGTACTCTCACCATTGTAATAGGTCATCGGTCATTTCTGTACTTTATTGTAGTTATTACCTACCTACATACAAACTCGATAATATAACATACCTCAAATTTAAAATGTGTTTCATTATATTACTGATTCCTACTAAATCGCAGAGCAGAACCGTTGCAACTCTATACACCTATTTTTATGCATCTTAGAATGGCAAACAAGCGCACGGCCCACCTAATAGAAAGCGGTAACCATCGCCTATAGACATGAACATAACAGAGTATACTGTTTCGCTCATGATACCCCCCATGTGTTGTCATTACCTTTTGTCAAATGTATCATAGAGAGTGGTCAGAGGAATTATTCGGATTGATACACACTTCTGAATTTCGTCATCGTACAATCCGCCACAAACTAAAGTTCCATCCCAACTACTGTGTGTTTTTCAAGCTACCTTCTTCTATAATTTATTTATTTGTTACAAAACTCAAATAAATACAAATATAAATAATAGAATAAAAATAGAGAGAACTAAATGCATAAATACCTGACCAAGGTGTAAATTCCTATTATTTTATTGTTCTTTTACTTCCCATTAATATTTACAGTATTTATTTTTTAATTAGTATAATAAAAAATAAAATAAATAAATAATAATCAAGTATAGATCTGCAGATAATAGATCTATATGTTTATTATTTATTTTATCTGTGGGCTCAGCAATAAAAAAAGGTATATAGGTATATTCAAATTTATACATACCTACTAGCAGGCTTTGGCTTTCAAGCTTTTTCTACTTGAATTAGGATAAATATATGTATACTTATCTGAATACTAAATATTTATTCAAATCCATTCAATCATTTAAGGATGCTTGAATAACAAACATCTTTGCACACTTTTATATTTATAAAGCAATTATATTAATTGTATTTATGGCAACAAATATACAATAGCAATTAGAATTCAAGTAAAATACAATAGCATAAAGATAGATAGATAGATACTCTTTATAGTTTCCTCCAAAAGATTACAATAGAAAACTTATTATAAATATAAATAATTACAAGAAATAATCACAATGAGAAAACAATGGGCGACCTTATCGCTAAGAGCGATCTCTTCCAGGCAACCTTTGGATGGAGAGGAGTAATTATAAACAATTTGGTGGGAGGCACGATGAAAAATTATGTTAGTTCTTAATATGGGAGATGTGATACATATAGTAATGTTAATATCAAAATATAGTCATAAAGAAACAAAAGGCGGTCTTACAGCTAGGGCCATCTCTTATAGACAACCTTAAAATCAATAACCTTATAATCTAATAGAATAACTTCATTATTTTTTTCATAATACTAATCTATATACTCGTAGGCGACATATTGTAGTGTCCACGTTATCCTGTCTGAACTATCATTACATAGTATAAAACAAAGTCGCTGTCGCTGTCTGTCCGTCCCTATGTATGCTTAGATCTTTAAAAATACGCAACAGATTTTGATGCGGTTTTCTTTAATAGATAGAGTGACTCATGAGGAAGGTTTATATGTATAATACATGCATAATATAATAGGGAAACAATGATAATTTTAGAGGTTTCTAATGTTATGTAAATAATCACATTTTTAGCGTTCCACCCGTGCGAAGCCGGGGCGGATCGCTAGTTAAGTATAAATCCAAGACATGACAGGCAGTAGTGCTGATCGGAGACAAGGGATTGTAAGTAATAGGTCTAACAGCCCCATTGCTAGCAATATATCCTATCAGGTCAATCTCCACGCAATTTTCCCCGGCAACAATTGTCTTTGTTCTTGTCAATGATGTGCTAATTAGTATGAGTATACAGTGATAAATGATAGGTGAGAATGAAAAAGGAGGTCCTTTTCATTTTCACCTAGCATCCATCTCTGGTGCCCCGCCAGCGTAGCGCAAGCAGGGTTACCATTCTATTATGATATATTAAAAATACCATAAGATCATTGTCAGTATACCGCCATCTAGGAGATTGAAAGTGAACTGCTGATGCATTAATCATCTTTGTAGGTTGTAAACGCTCTAAATATGTACCTATTACAAAGACGTCATCTATCGAATTGTTATTGTATTTCTACAAAGACAACGCCATCTATTGAATTGTTATTATAATATTGCCAAAGTAAAAGGGCATCGAGGGGTCAATGTTCCTTTGACCTATTGTCATTACATTATTCAGCTACTCAGAAATCAATTTCAATAAGTAATGACGAAGGTCATACAATCATACTAACAAGGAATACCTAGAAAAGAAATCTTACTTAAACCTTAAACAATAAACTTAAAGAGGAATATTTCTAGAATAAAATTAAAGAAAAAATTAGTGGTTGTTCATTAATTTATTTATAATAGTTATGTAACATTTATCAATATTACAAAAATGTTCAGCCTTGTGATGGGAATAGGCAGTTTCAGCTGATGCGGATATGATTTTGTAAATAAATAAAAAAATGTGTAATTGAGGCTTCAGATATATGGAATATTGAGTTTCACTTATGCTGTATAATTAGAATTTCTCCTCCTCGAGGCCATGTTTGAAGAACATCATGATAGGAACGGAGGCACCATCAATATCTCTGTACTCCATCATGGCGACCATACCATCACAGTCCATAGATTCTCCAGTGAAGAATTGAAGCTCCTTAAACCTGCCGAGGATGTCCTTCATTACTTTGTTTGTGTTGGTCTTGAACACTTCAACTTGGTCAGGGGCCTTCTCTTCCAATTTTGCTACTAATCTGAAACAGAATTGAAAAGCAAATTAATTATAAGATAACTACAAATATATTTTAAGTACACCACACATATAGATGGTATTCTATTGTTGTATAAAATCTTTATTGTATATATTTTACATTGGACATATTAAAAATGTTTAATACACAATAACAGACTTGTACCATAGAGGGATTTCTTACAATCAATCAAGCTGAAAGAAAACTATAGAATATTGTAATACTATAGTTTGCTTTTTATGTAAAAAAATATTACAGAAGCACAAAATCTGTTATATTACACCACTGTCCGAGAAGTAGTATTTTTATCACTTAATTTTTTTTATATCTGTCAAAATGGATACTGTATTATTATATGAAAATATGTCGACTCTATTTCATGAACAATCATTATAAAAATGAATGTTTTTTCATTAAAGTCATATATTGTTGCATCAATAGCTCCATAGGATGATATCAAACACCAACCCGTGGTATTAGATGATGCTAGACAATGATTTGTTTGGGACTGCAAGTGGCACAAAAAAAGATACTGCAAAATACAGTTAAAATTATCAATATCATAATATTACTGTTGAAGAGACACACTCACTTTTATATAATAAATAATAATTTATATAAATGTTTAACATTTTTTTAAAATACACAGTTTACATCAGAATAGGGCAATGACATTCACCCACACTATTAGACCTTGGCAAAGACATCATATTACTACAAAAGAGGTTACGATTATTCATGCTTGTTTATCATAATATTTACTACAAAAAACTTACATTATATCACTAACTCGTGACCTAATTATAAATTAAAGGACACTATTCAGTAAACACTAATTAAATGTAGTAGAGAGGCAAGTCAAAACACATGAAAACAAAAACATGTAAAGTAGGTTGTGATGTGTCATAAAAACTTTCACACAAAATGGCAGACATACATATAAAAAATGTATGTCAGTACATGTAAAAAGCGCCCACATGGACAACACACACTCCACAAATGTCTGGTATCCATTCTAAGATATGAACAAAGGTATAGTGACATGTTTGAAAACACAATGCAGCTTTTATAAGAGCTCCTCAAGTAATGTGAAAGAGATCAATGCAGATAACTATTCAACAATTTGTATAAACTGAGTATACTGTGCTCAATTAGGATATAGACTCTTCATACAGCAATTATAAATGTATTTATAGATTTAATAATTATTATATACTACTAATAAACATTTGATCTCTTAATATCACTGAGAATAGCAAGCAAAGATCTTGTTTCAATGCACATTTTACGTACAAGTGAAAACAATAGCATAACACTACATTATTGTAATTATAAAAAATTAAATTTGAACAAATCACCAGTGATGTACAAATTGTTATAAATGAATACTAGATATAATTAATACAAATTCAAAGGTTTGGATCTATATATGGTGAGATTATAACTTTTTTGAGAACAGTAAATGCCTCCGTTAGCAGATAACACTACACATAAAAATAACATCAAAATAAATTAGTATAAATTACCACATGAAAAGGCCACAAGACACTTACTTTTTCATATAATCCTTAAGGTATAATGTGTAAGACTTTTTGTCTCCGAAAGCGTATGTTTCCACTAGCCTATGATTTAGCACTATGTCTACACCGCTTTCGACATTGCTGTCCGTTCCCTCGTCCGCCTCCTCGGCCGAAGGGTTGAATCCTTCGATTTTAATATCGTCTTGTTGCCTCGTTACTAATCTACCGGTGACTTCGTATATAACTTCATCGACCAGCTTTATTTTGTAAGTGTCCGAGAACATCTCGTCACCTGAAAACAAAGATATAATCTTGTTACAAACATCTTGAAATACAGCATACTCTAGACCATCTGGATCGTTGATGTGGCATTTAACTATTTCTTGAAATAAAGCGATGAGACATCAGAGTAGATGAAGTGTCAAAATAACTTTTATCAAAGGTACACATAATAAACAAAATATTCACGTAAAACTTATTCATATGACACAATAAACACAATTACCAGTAATAATATCCTTATAGATTCTCATTTTGTAGGATTAGAGACGATTAAAAATAATAAAAACCGAAACTACGGCTCCCAGCCCCAAGAACTAAACCGGAAAGGGGTGTTGAAAGTATAAAAGGCAAAGACCAATGTTGCTAGTTCAGACTAAACGTCAAATTTGAAATGTAATTACAAAACGCAGAATATATATAGTAAAATGTGCATAATTCTGTGAATACTAGATTCGGGCTGACGTAGATTACAAGCGGGGTGAATAAGGAGAAAAGGATAGGGTTGTCAAAAATTTTATTGTACATAATAATGAAATAAACTTTATTTAACAATAAATATATAAAGGTTTTAAGCAATTTACTTAGTTATATGGAATCAATTATTCAATAACATTGTGGAAAAGAATTTGCTTGGCAAATATTGGACACATAATTGATATTGGCGTATTTAAGATTATTTTCCAGAATGAGTATGGCCCCCTTAAAAAAAGATAAGTATGTTCTGTTTGACATGTTCTTACAATGCTTTGTTCGTATATTAGGATATATTATTATTATATACACTGCAGTTATATGCACCAAACGATCCTGGAATAGTCAGGGCTTACACGGCTCTTCCTCTAATACGCTTGTAAAATTCGAATATAAACCAGCAATCAAGCTGCTTCTATCACTCTTTGAAAACAAAGACCAAACTACTTTGTTTCAGTTCAGCCATAGACGTACTCAGAAGGGGGCGGATTAAACCCTATTCACTCCAGAATTAGAAGCAAAGCTATCTGTTTTAAGTAAATAGGTTAGACAATGTATATACGTTTACTTTAAGGGATCAATTACCACAATGCAAGTAGCAATTTGTATTACGTGATTTACTCAAGCAGTGATGTAAGGAGATAATCTTTTTTAGTACGTATGTTGATACTTATTAAAAAAGACTTGATTCCTGACTTAAGTCTGATGATGCTGAAATAAAATTATAAAAACTTCTGATAAACGTATAAGTAATATTGGATTATTTTAAGTATTATACAAGTACTTGTATAAAATGTAATAAAATAAAAAAAGGTGTATAGCAACGGAATAAATATATAATAATTATTATTAAAAGTATATGATAATTATTAATAACATTCTAGGCTGTTTTCTTTACGTAAACATAACGTTCGTACCTTTCTTCAAATCCTATTACTTCTACTGTTAGAAGCAGTAACTAAACGTTTCTAATCAAATTTTGTTAAATACATAAAACAAAAAAAATTGACAAAGGAAATAGATGGCGCTTTTCACTGAACAAAGATGGAAGTGGTTCTTTATAATTCTACCGTTTGTAGATTATGTGGAGAAGAAAATGATAATGGAACATTATTATATTCTAGTGATGTAAATAATCAAACATTATGTGAAGTTATTAATACATATTTACCAATTAAGGTATAGTATTTATTATTTGTGACTGTTTTGACTCAGCGAAAATCTAACATGGCGGATTGGTATTATATTAAAAACATTTTCATTTCTTTATTATCCATAATTCAAAACTGTAAAGTAATATTTACCGTATAAAATTAAATAATATTGTTAAAATTATTAACTGAATGAAAAAAGTGCTGATATCGGTTTTTCACCTTAATTATATTGTCAACGATAAATTATTGTCAATATATAAAATACTCGCGCCAGTATTTGACAATTGACAAAAATTTTCAATATTGTTTATCAGCTGATTTTTACAATTTAGTAAAAACACCCTGAACGTGGTTATATATCAAATTGTATAAAGAACTATAAATGTCGAGCTGTCACAACAACTTAAAACGTTATAATATGATTAAAAGGAAAAATATGATTTTAATTTTTTTTAATCATACACATAATAAGCTTTCAGTTTTCTGCTACTGAATATATTTAAAAAAATTTGCTCGTATTTTATATTATACATTAAAACACAGTCTTCTTGATTTGTGCAAAATATTACAAGTTAATCTATATTTCATTGTTGGTGTTTTTGTACTGTAACTTTTATAATATATATAAAAATGGGCAAATTTTATTATTTCATAGATTTCGATATTTTGACTGACCCTTATTAGTATTGATTTTGGAATCCTATAAATTTGTATTTATTTACCTGACTGACAAAGAACGAGGTTAATATTTTTAGCTTTTTTGTATAATAAGTACTTTTTATATATATGTTATATTTATCAGTGGCTGAACTCATTACCAATTCCATTTCTCCAAAATTCATATCTCTGAAATATATATTAGATATGTATGTTCTGGCTCTCCGATTACTGAGGAATCTAGTGGCTACAACTATGTAATCTGGCTAGGTTTGATGGATTGAATAGAAAAACCTAAACAATATTTGATGTAAAACATTGTAATTCTCTTTATGATAAATATAGTCTGTGTTATTTATTATGAAGATATTTAGGAAAAAATAAGATTATGAATTGTCCAAAAGAAAAAATAGGAAGAATTTTATTTAGATATGGAATGACATCTATCGTAAGTGTAACTAGCCAGTAACAGAAAGGTAACCATAGTTCCATCTATATAGGTTGGTATGACACAAAGTCTAACAATTCTATTTTGAATACATATTTACATTTATTTATATCACGCTACACATACACCCACGCATACATTTAACCCTCTTTACAATTGGTGACCATGAATATGTATTATTTAATCATTGCTGTCAATATCTGAACTTTAACAACATGAATTTTAATTATTTTATATATCAATTAACTTTATGGACACTCACTATTATATATGGTTCCTTTCATACATGTGCTTATATTACTTGCATACACCCACTCTAACTTGCCTACCTCGCTATGGAATCAAAATTTTTGTTTGTATAAGTAAAATCCGTTATTGGCTGTATTCATAAGAGACTTAGCATGTAAGTTATTTTTTAAGAGCTGTGGATTTTTGTATAAAATAAAATAAAAAAATAAAATAAAATACAATATTGAATTGACATTTCTTCATAGTCGTAGAATACTGACAAATATTACATATATAGATCCATCAGTATTCTATGACTATGACAATTCATGTAAACAGAGAAAAAAATGAGAATAAATAACAGCAAAGAATAAAATAAAACTATGATTAATTTTGTTTTTAAATGGTGCATTATTATAGATATCAGATGATGGCCAATTACCTAGAACCATATGTCCAGGATGTACAATTCAGTTGGAAGCCACAGTGGAATTCTTAAATCTTATTGCGAAAGGCCAGGTAATGTTATGTGCAATGAGTATTAATAAATTAATAATAGTAACTAAAAATATAAAAGTGTATATTTTTTACATTCACTTTTTTTGCTCTTTACATTTAATTGAACATTTACTTATAAGACAGAGGGTTATATATTACTAATATAATAAAATTGTACCTAGACAATATCTGTACGTAGGAAATATCAAAGAACAATTAACATAAGAGGTATTAATAAGACCAATAGATACTAAAATGATATTTTTTAGGAATTTTGTCTGTCCATCTGTCTGTCTCTGTCTGTTTATTTGTACCAGCATCATGCAAAAACTTACACTAAATTGAATATAGGTTTTCACAATTGTGTTACCGAAGGTCTAACTAAAAATTTTGTATATGTTTTATATAGTCTAGAAGTCTATTTAATTAGATTTTTAGTTCTTAAATCCATGAATACGAAGTAGCGGGCAATAAGCTAGTATTGGATAATATTTTTTCCTATTTCTATAAGCAACATCTTGCTGAAGAAAACTTTGTTTATACAATTTGAAATGGTAAACTAAGTAACAGCTAAATGGTTCTCCTGATATATTGTCATTCCTGAAATAAAGGTGTTATCCCTCTATGCTCTGTACTGTCATTTATCATATGCCCTTCAAACCAAAATATATGCATGCAAACTAATCTGCTTGGCAATAGAATCATATACTATGAATACCTATTTATAGAGTTGATCATAGTTTTATTGTACATCATCATGTTACTGAATAAAACATATTGTTCTTCCAGAAAATAATACGAGAGCTACATCAGAGAGAAAAAGATTATAAGAAATCATTATGCAATGGTAACACCAAAGCACCTGAGATTATTACTGAAAACATTGTGTATGAAAGTAAGTATTTATATGTGTAGTACCAAATTTGAAGTAGAGCTCTAACTCTAAACAGGGCATAATCTTGTGTAACTGCTCTTGAATATCAATTAAACAGCTTATCTTTTATTATTTCTTCTTTAACTAGCTCCAACCATCGCATACCATATCGATAGTGTAAAAAGTTATTTCTAATTTCAGTAAACACAAGTAATGGAATGTACCAAGTGGAACATCCAATTGCTTTGCAAATTGCTGGCTTGGAGAAACCCAAACGTAAACGTGGGCGGCCACCCAAAAAGCCCAAAAGCACTGAAGAATTGCCAGAAGAAGAACCCGTGGTATTGCAAAATCTTGATTCAGCTAATAATTCAAAAGAAGAACCAACACCTGGAAAGCGACGACGGAAAACGCCGACTAGATTCAAAGAAGCTGTACAGGTAAAAAAAATTGAGTAAAATACTGTTTGTCTCTATATAAATAGAGTTCAAATCTTGGTCTTTTGGGGTTTTTTTAATGGATGATGATGGAATGTTAACCATGCCTGCGCTATTGGTATATACTGGCGGGACACCAGTGAGGGATGAATGGTGAGGATAAAAAGGCAGGTCAGTTAGCCCATCGTGACAAATTTAATGATAAATTAGTCATTTAGAAACCTGGTCGTAGGTCGACCTGATAATTGATAACAATGGGAACTAACCTCCCCATTACTAATAATCTCTTCCTCCCGATCATTTGCGGTTAGACAAGGAAATAAACAGTATTCCAACCAAAGCTCAAAGTATCTCAGTGTATGTATATCACAAAGTTTAGGTAAGACTTAGTAATTAAGAACAGTTAATAATTCAAAAACTTGTCAACTGATACTGTGTCGTTATTGCTTTTAATTAAGTATATATATTTTAATTTTTTTTTTCTTGTGGCCAGTAATCTAAAAAAATCTTTCCATATTAATATTTAAAAAAAATAATAATTCTCATGCAACTAGTCATTGTCTAATTTTATTAATGTTCTCAATTTTTAGGGTAAAGAGTTAGAGAGAATATTTATAGAAGAAGGGGTAATTGATGGAGAAGAAAGTGAGAATGACATCAAGCCAGACATAGATCCGGAGCAAAAAATTCCAGAATCAAAGGAACCAGAGATTATTGGTCATATGGAGGACTCTGGAGAACTAGTTGTGGTTGTCAAGGGCAAAGGACGCGGTCGGCCCAAAGGTTTGTTTAGCACTTTTAACAATGTTTTATTGTTCTTTTTTTATACAACTTAGAATGACAAACAAGCTGACGGTCCACCTGATGGAAAGTGGTGGTAGCAGGATGCAGTAATAAAACATATATATATTTGAGATATAAAATAATAAGTTTAGTGGAAAAAAAACAAGACATGTCTTATAAAAAACTGACACACAACAAACTTATACATTGTTCTAAAAAACCTCAGTGTCAACAGCCAGTATTAAAATGCCAACTAAAATATGGTTTAGTTAGCATTTGATATTGGTATATGCCGTACACACGCCGGTCGGTCGGCGAGGGCTCGTGCAGGCGCGTGCAGGCGCGTGCAGGCGCGTGCAGGCGCGGTGTCAGTAGTTGCGCGTGGTGGTCGGCAGGGCGCGTGCAGGCGCGGCAGTGGGCGTGCGCGCAGTGCGGCGCGGTGTTCTCGTGCGCGGGCCGCTACATGGCGCACGTGGCGCAGCACGGGCCCGCGCGCTGCGGCTGCGGCCTGCGCTGCGACTCGCGCCTGCACCTGCACCACCACCAGCGCGCCACCGGACACTCCGCCGCCGACAACGCCGACACCGCCGACACCGCCGACACCGCCGCCGACACCGCCGACACCGCCGCCGCCACCGACCACACGCCCGCCGCTGCGGGTGAGGTAAGGGGTATCGTCGTGACATTTACTGAGTAAAAGTAGTATTTTACTCTCAGATAGATCGTATGTTTTTTTTTACGATTATTTTGTAATATAAACAAATTATAATTTCTAATATTGAACGATATTTAAGTAAACATTAGTCTTAGCTAATGATTAAAGTCAATTGAATCAAATTTCAGTACGTGGTTTAATTTTATAAAATTAATACATAAATTAGTTGATTTGTAAGTATTAGCGATGTCATATGTATTAGTTAAATTTTGTTTTTGAAAACATGTAATTGGTTTTTTGTCTCTACTGTTTTTTTTTTTATTATGAAATTATCTAGCTGTTGGTTTTTCTTTAATAAAATATATTTTTTTTTATACAACTTAAAATGGCAAACATGCTGACGGCCCACCTGATGGAAAGTGGTAACTCGCCTATAGACATAAGCAGTATAATAACATAAATATATATTTTTCCTGAGGACAATTTAACTACAGCCATGCAAACACAGCTGCTTCACGGTTGAAACACGAATGGAATATTACAATTTAACTAACAGAGAATATTGCAACAAAATTGATCAAGACGTATTGAATATTTACAGATGATGTAATAAATCTATTATTATGTTTTTAGAATCTTCAAAATGAATCCAAAGGAGAAACAACTCCGCCTCAACAGACCACAGATTCACCTGACCTGCCACCAATTGACAATGTCATTGACAATGTGATGGCAAGCAAAAGTTTACCCGACCTGAACCCACTTTTACCAGAAAATACTACAAATACATCCGAAGCAGTTGAAGTCGTTCCAGAGGACACTAAAAAAGACATTGAAGCCAATGAAAGTAAGTGTTTATAATGTGTTACTTCAGCTAAAGAGACAAAGATGTTTCAGAATTATACAGGGCTTGGGCTCAATGTATACCATGTATCTATGTAGAAAGCAAATTGCACCTATATTCGAACATAATTTCTTACAATTTTGCTTTTTTCTTTGAGAGAAACTTAATTTCAAATTTAACAATTGTGACACAAAACCTAACACAATGATACATTATTTATTCCTGACGATATCATCATATCTCCTGCTTTAGAGGGTTTTACCAGTAAAGTAGTAATAGCGTAAATCTTGTACTCATATTAGGTCATCAATAGTCTATATACTTATTAGGTAAATTTTTTATCGCTGTTTGTTTTACAGATTCAATTATTCTTAAAGAAATACCTCTCGACACTGAGGGCCCTGCAGAAGTTATTGTGCCTGATGTAAAGCCAAGGCTCAAGTGCAACCACTGTGACAAGACGTTTAGTACCAAACAGAGCAAGTCTGTACATATAAAGGTATTATTTATATAAATGACTTTTTATCCACGACTTCATTCATGTGACCATATAAGAATAAGAATATATAAATCATATTAATTCGTAATGAACTCATTTTTCTGTTTTAAACATGTGCCCGGTTGGCGTCTCCCTAAGTCGAATCTTGCATCCTCGGTGAAATATCTAGCGCTAGCATTGAGATGTTTGTAATGAATATTTTGTTTTTAATGTATGATAATCGAATGGTAATCCCGCGTGCGCTATTGGATTGAGCTAGCTGTGTCACAAGCACTGACGAATTTATGTCGACTAAAGATTTGCGCACCGATGATAAATAGATGTTTCTTCGACGTTATGATCGATGTTTGGCACAGTATGACCGAAAGGAGCGAATCGTATGCGATTTGATGGCATTTGTCGCTGAAGATTCGCGACCTAAAACCCCAGAATACGGCGCTTACCTGATAATATGTCGTTGGCAGGCGGCGCACCAGGGCGAGCGGCCGCACGTGTGCGGCGAGTGCGGCGCCCGGTTCGCGTACCCGCGCTCGCTGGCGCTGCACGCCGTCTCGCACCGCCGCCCGCGCGCCGCGCGTGGCTTCGCCTGCGACCTCTGCGGCAAGGTACGCGCACACCGCTACACGCACACACCACACGAACGCACACACACACCGCAACACGCACGCACACACACACCGCAATACGCACGCACACCGCAACATGCACACACGCACGCACATCGCAACACGCACATACGTACGCACACCGCAACATGCAACACGCACGCACACCGCAACATGCACACACGTACGCACACCGCAACATGCAACACGCACGCACACCGCAACATGCACGCACACCGCAACACGCAACACACACGCACACCGCAACACGCAACACACACGCACACCACAACACACAACGCGCACACACACAGCAACACGCACACACACACACCGTAACACGTAACACGCACACACACACACACACACACACACACACACACACACACACACACACACACACACACACACACACACACACACACACACACACACACACACACACACACGCAACACACACACACACGTAACACGTAACACGCACACACTGCAATACGCAACACGCACGCACACCGCAACACGCAACACATACGCACACTGCAACACGCTGCGTAATTTTAGCAATTATTTAGAAATTAACAAACTCAAAAGCGCCTACCGTGAAATATTTTCTGATATTTCGGGCCTAGATTAAACACAAATTTGATGTTAAAATTACATAATATATAAAAATATTAAAAATGTTAAAATATTTTTCCTTTGGTCTATTATGGTAAGATTTATGATAAACGAATTGTTAAGCTCCATTTACAGTACGAACAAAAACACGAAATTGAGCCCGAAAATTCAGAAATTCATTTTATAGTAGACCTCCTGTTTAAAAGTTGTTTAGTCACATGAACACTATTATTAATATATATATTTTATAATAAATATACAAAATTTTGGTAATATATAATTTTTCCAATAGCATTCATGCAATGAACTATGAGACTAATGCTTGACCATTGTTAATGTCCAGGTACTGAACCACCCATCGTCGGTGGTGTACCACAAGGAGGCGGAGCACGCGGGTCAGCGGTACGTGTGTAACAAGTGCGGCAAGTCGTTCAAGCACAAGCAGCTGCTGCAGCGGCACCAGCTCGTACACTCGCAGCTGCGACCCTTCACCTGCAAGGTCGGTTACCGACCACTCTTGCAATTCTTTTTATTAAACGTAGGATGGCCAATGAGCTAACGACCTACCTGTTCGAAGATCGCTACTAGCCCATAGATATGAAATGCACCATAGATCTCACAAATAGTGTGTAATGCTGATGGTACCCGTCACGCGTTGTCATATCTAAGAACTAAGATATTACGTTTCCGTACCCTGTAATTTACTGCCGCGTTCTATTCTTGAAGCCAGAACGAGACTATATAGATAGATAGATAGATAGATACTCTTTATCGTTTCCTCCAAAAGATTACAATAGTAAACTTATTATAAATATAAATAATTACAAGAAATAATCACAATGAGAAAACAATGGGCGACCTTATCGCCAAGAGCTATCTCTCCCAAGCAAGCTTTGAATGGAGAGGAGTAATTATAAACAATTTGGTGGGAGGCACGATGAAAAATTTTGTTACTTCTAAATATGGGAGATGTGATACATATAATATATAGCTGTTTCGCAGCATAAACATAAATGAGACAGATATAAGTTGATATAATCAAACAGTCGTCTGTAGAAAATAGTTGTTTTGATCCTTCACCAAACGGACCTAATTATTAACATCTTTCATAATAATATTGTAGAATGCAATAAATAAATAAATTTGAAATGACCTATACTGATAACAAATGAAAACTTTTTAGTATACCCCAATTAGAAAAACAGTATTACAACTCGTGATTACAACTATCTTTCCCCTCTCACCTTACTGGTTACGCTTCAAACTATTTTCTCCTACATTCTTCACGACTCTGGAACGCGCTTCCTGATGCCATTAAGAGACTACCGACTAAACTGTCTTTAAAAAAAAACGTACACGCTCACTTTTTTGTTTTATCCGAGCAGTAAGTGTTTTATATTATTCTCAATTTCGTGTATAATATAGTATATGTCATATATATGTAAATATATTTGTTATTTATATATATTTATTCGTTTATATATGTAATTTTAGTATGTATGTATATCAATAATTACTAGTATCGCATTCTAGTATTCTGACACTTCCCTATGGTTGACTGGGAGAGAATGCTTTTAGCATTAAGTCCGCCATTTACACATATTTGTATTAATGAATAAATAAATAAATAATTTGCAAACAAACAAGGTAGAAATAAGATACAGGCAACTATGGGCAATTTTGTCATTAAATAGCGATTTTTTGCAAGCTCGGGGCGGGATGTAGTAATTAAAATTAAATCTAAGTTAACGCCTCAATTTACAGACGTGTAATGCATCGTTCAAGACGAAAGCGAATCTGATCAATCATCAACTACTTCACTCCGGGATCAAGAAATTCGCTTGTGAAATTTGCAAGCACCGTTTCGCGCATAAAACTAGTCTCACGCTGCACATGAGGTGGCATACAGGTAAGTGATACATAAAATTTAACAAATATAAAATGACAGTTCGATATGTCATTTTATAAATTAAGAGTGTTCATACCGATAGACTTTATCAAAGTGTATTGAAAGTATTTGTTAATTTGATGGATTTGTAGGTAGGGGCTGCCCTAGAAAGGGAAGGTATATGTCGACCAAAGGCGAGGAATTAAAAAAGTGCTAAATTAAAAGTACCCGTAACCGGTGAGAGTGTATGTAAAGATTGATTCGTGTGTAGGAAGTGAAAGAGGCCTGTTTGAGTTGAAGCATTTGGCGTTTCATTGTTTCTACCTATTTCAATGTAGACAGCCATGATAGATACGTAAAACACTAAAACAGAAAAGGTTTGCTAACTATTACACAAATGCAAATCGAAGCCTTATTCGAATATGCCCTGTGTATGAACCAGGCCAGAAGCCGTTCTCGTGCGGCGTGTGCGGCAAGAGCTTCAGCCAGAAGGGCAACCTGTCGGAGCACGCGCGCATCCACACGGGCGAGAAGCCGTACGCCTGCGCGCTGTGCCCGCGCCGCTTCACCACCTCCTCGCAGCACCGCCTGCACGCGCGCCGCCACGCGCAGCAGCCGCAGCACGCGCAGCACCCGCAGCACCCGCAGCACGCGCAGCAGCCGCAGCGGGACGACCGCGTCACGCTCGCCTGCACGCACTGCCCCAAGCGGTACGTGTACCAGTAGCTGCCATATTGTTAGCAATGCACAAGCAAGTCGACTATCGATTTATAGACGACATTCCAATTACAGGGTATAAATCGTAATGATAAATTTCTGATGAATTTTAGAATTTGCGTAGAGATTGATCTGATGTTATCCCTAACCTATAAATTCTCAAAGGTAGATACTTCACAAATAGGGCCCAGTAATTGTGTAGTATCTCAAAGTATAGAGAAAAAAAAATAAGGTTCATTGGAGAAGTAAAATTACATTAATTTACTAAATAGTTTTTTGACACGATTTTTCCCCCTTTTTTGTTTTAACATTATTGCATAGGATTACATAATTATTGATCAAAGTTTTTTTCAATATCTAACAATTTCTTAGAACATTGGCATTATGAAAATAGAAAAAAAATGCGATCAAGGTTATTTAAATAGAAATGAATTCTATTCTAAATTTAAAATTCACGTACACTACAACAGATTTGCGTCGCACACGGCACTGATAGCGCACCAGCGGCGCGTGGCTGCCGCGGCGGCGGGCGCGGGAGCGGAGGCGGAGGCGGGCGCGGACGCGGGCGGGCAGCGGCAGCGGCACACGTGCGGCGAGTGCGGACGGTCGTTCGGTGAACGCTGGGCGCTGGTGAAGCACGCGCGCCGCCATACCGGCGAGCGACCCTTCCGCTGTCCGCACTGCCCGCGAGCCTTCGCGGACTGCTCCAACCTCAACAAGCACAAGAAGGTACCCCGCTACCTTACATTATATATATATACGGTACATACACCAAAATAACATTTTTTACTTGTCTGTCTAATCTCTGAATTCCAGCTAATCTCTGAAATGGCTGGACCGATTTTGACGGGACTTTTATTGGCAGGTAGCCGATGTAATAAGGAGTAACTTAGGCTACGTTTATTTAAGAAAAATTCTTTTATTTTAGAAAAATAAAATAATGTTGCAATGTCCATATACTGTCCAGTACCGCGCGCAGTTAGGCGAAACGAAGTTCGTCGGGTCAGCTAGTTCTCTATATCATTTGGAAAAAACAGCGTTTGAGGGTAGTGTAATAATAATAATAAATAAATAAATAAATATCTTTTATTTCAGCAAGTGCACAAACAAATAAGTCTGCTGGTAAACGATAATAACCAACCGGAAGCGGTAGAGGCGGGGGCGGTGATGATGATGGGTGGCGAGGTGGAGGAGGCGGCGGCGGGAGTGGTGCAGGAGGAGGGCGGCCAGGGGGAGGGGGAGTTACACGAGCGCGTCATATACGTGGCGTACGACGTGGACGAGCCGCATTCACCCGCATACCACATATTGGATCCGGAGCAGGTGATCAGTCATCAGTCTCACATTATTTTATATATTACTAGCAACCCGCCCCGGCTTCGCACGAGTTTTTTAAAGAAAATATAAAATAGCCTATGTTGTTGCAAGGCTACATCTCCTCGCAGTAGTTTTTAAGTTAAATTAACAACGTTACAAACAAAAAATCATTTATCTTTCCTCGTTATATATAATATTAATTTACATTAGTACACTACCTAAATTTTCGAAACCCCCGGCTCGGAGGCGAGGCGCGGGGTACGGGACGCCTGCGCGGACCGGTCAAATTACGGCGACACGAAATTAGTTTTGTTATGCATTATTTGATATGACTGCTCCCACTTAAATGTGGATGAAAAGAGATATTTATTAATTTATCACGACACTGCAGTGAATTCTCGCTAGTGTGTATCTCACACACTAGTGAGAGTTCACCCTCGTCTCGCTCACTCGCACATGTGTCGCGTAAATCGTCTCATTTCGTAAAATTATTTATTAAATACGAATGATTTGTGATAACCCTCCCAAATTATTCGGAAATTAAAAGTATAATTAAAGGATATAAGAAATATATAGGATATAAGAAAATTAAAATTAAAGGGTATATTTCAGTATTCACAAACGAAAGTATATTAATATCGATTGTGCCTGGGGCAGGAGCTGATTATCGTATCATGTTTCCAAAACAGTTTTTCGAAAATGCAACTCAATATTTGCTATCAGTATTATTACTATTTATTGGCATTTTTTTATACAACTTAGAATGGCAAACAAGCTGACGGCCCACCTGATGGAAAGTGGTAACCGTCGCCTACAGACATGAGCAGTACCATGGACATAACAGAGTATACTGTTTCGCACATGATACCCCCATGCGTTGCCATTCCTGAGGACTCAGGTGTTATTCCTCTGTACCCAGTAAATTCACGCCATATCCCACCCTTCAAACCGAAACACAGCCATGCAAACACAACTGCTTTACGGTTGAAACACGAATGGGACAGAGTATCCAAGCAATCGACTTTTGTACAAAGTCTCCCTCTGGCATGTTTTGTATTACTAAAAAGTTAGCGAACATTGTGGTGATTGCTGCTTCTAAAGTAGCGATAGAGGTCTGAGGAAAAAAAAAGTAATGTGGGAATGACTGCCGTTAGAAAAAAAAACTTATTTGACGATTGTTTGTATTTATTGTATTTTTAAAGGAATGTTATTGGGACTCTAAAGTTTTAATCAGTAAAATTAAAGATAGAGGGAATTGGAATCGTTACTGTATTTTATTATTGGTCATGTACTAGAAACATTTATGTTGTAAATGTACTACAATTTAGGAAATAAATTTTATTAGTTTATCGATTAATTACAGTTGATAACTAAAGTTTGTCACAAAATAAAAAGTTACCATCTAGCGATTAGCTAGCAATTGTACCATGTAATACTCGTGGCATTTTATGACGTTTCGTAAATATGTACAAGGTGCACTGTATGTTATTAAATAGGTAATGGGCTCTCTGGTTTTTATCTTCTTATGCCATAGACTATAATAATAACGTCACGTGTACGTCACAGGCGGCGACCCTGAACAACGGCAAGATGTTGTCAACCTGCGAGCTGTACCCGGGCCCGTCGCTGCTGGTGCAGCACACAGAGCTGGAGGCGGAACCCGAGCTGCACGAGGAGGCTAGCCTCCAGCAGTACGATCCCAAGTTGGACGAGCTCCCATTGAAGGATGAACATATTACAGTTAGTTGGCTATATTGTATATAATAAAATGGTCCTTTCTATATGCTTGTCCTTTGTGCCCTTTCTATATGCTTGAAATTTTATCCTCTGCTCGGGTACCACTATCCCATTGGTGTTTCTACTAAGCAGCAGTGAAATAACAGGATACCATGGTATCTTAATCTTAGTCTTAAGAAATAGCACACGTGACGTATTTCTACCATGGGGTCACTGTTATCTGTGATATTCACAATGCTATTAGTGTTTACAAATGATGGGTATCACTTTCCATAAGGTGGACCATCAGCTTTTTTAACAATTCAAAAAAAATGTTTCTATACTTGCCATATTTAGCAAAAACCGTTGCTGTATTGTCTTGGCTAAGAATGGGCCATTTTTTCTATTCCCGTGATTGTCGTAAGAGGAACTAACTAACGAACTAAGGGAACTTAATTGCCGAAAGATGTCCCTCATGTCATCAGATGTCATCCCTCTCAAAACGTCACCAAAAGCCTAACTACGGTTGCCAATCCGCCTGCCAAACGTGACAACTACTGGCAAAACTTTTACAGGTAACAGATGAGCAAGGCAATCCGCTCCACTTCACGATGCAGGACGGCACGCAGCTCGCCATCACCTCCGTGGACGGGAAATCTTTGCAGGTATGTCCAGGAATGGGCAGCAGTGTCCCTCACCAAAATTATCAGAGGGAGACTTTGTACAAAAGTGATTGCTTGGGTACCTCTGTCCCATTCGTGTTTCAACTGTAAAGCAGTTGTGTTTGCATGGCTGTGTTTCGGTTTGAAGGGTTTGAAGGTACAGAGGAATAACATCTGAGTCCTCAGGCATGGCAGCGCATGGGGGGTATCATGAGCGAAATAGTATACTCTGTTATGTCCATGGTACTGCTCATGTCTATAGGCGACGGTTACCACTTTCCATTCTTGTTTGCCATTCTAAGTTGCATAAAAAAATATATTCTGATGGATATTTGATTTGATTTGGTGATCCAAAGCCGTGGCTACTATGGGCAAAATCCTCCTTCTATGGAGACGTCTATATTCAGCAGTCGACATTTAACGGCTATATAATCATCTTCACGTAATATTGAATTAATTTGCATTCTTTTTAAGGAATGTACTACTACCAGGGGGTACTACTGAAAGGGGAAAGGGATTATTAATAATGGGGTCTAACAGCCCCATTGCTAGCAACATATCCTGTCAGGTTGACCTCCACCAGCATTAGAATGCGGTCACTCCGTCAATCCCTCCAGCACTTGTCTCGCACTTTTCACTGTCAAAGTAGTACAAAACCATTTTTCCGGATTTTTTTTTTATACAATGTAGAATGGCAAACAAGCTGACGGTCTACCTGATGAAACGTGGTAACCATTGTCTATAGATATCTGCAAAATCGCTAGTTTGGGCCCCGATTTTATTCTTATGTACCCATTTAATCTATTCATTATGTATCCAGGTTGTGACACAAGATGGCCAGACTATCCCCGTCGAGATCAACGGATACGACGAGGAAGAGGAAGAGGTGAGGACTTTTTATTACACTAGTGAAGCTTAAAATAGGCATTTTAATCATTATTCAGGTATGGTTCTCCATCACCACCTGCAATGGCTGTAGATGCAACTAAAAAAGAAAAACTTTATTACTAATAAATATGAAAGTTTATAGGAATATTTGGATAGATCGATGTTTTTTTTTCACACAAAAACTACTGAATGAGATTTTGGTACATTGGTAGGTTATGTCCTAACTTACCTCATAGGATACTTTATGTACTAATTTATGAGGGCTAAGCCGCAGCATATAGCTAATAACTAATAAATACTTGAACCATACTTAAACTCGCCACTTGGTAAGAGCATTCAATTATTGAAGAATGGCAACATTGCTTTTATCCGACAATTTTCATAAACTAACATTTTTCATTTTTTCAATGTTTGTTAAATTCTTTTCGAAAATTGCCACGTTGAATTAGGAACGTTTTTAAAACATGTTTATTATAAATTGTACATCAGTGACACTCGACGTTGGCAACACATTCCTATAATACAAGGTGTAAAAGACAGGTTGGCAAAAACTGAAACAGTGAATGCAGATCATTATACTGAACTGAAAACTGGTTGAAATTCTTTCTGAAAAAATTCAATTTCTTTTTTATTTTTTTTTTTCGTTTAAACTCATGTTGTTATGTCATAATATAAAGAAATAATAATATTCCATAATGAAATACTATGAGATACCAAAAAACAGCAATGTAATATTAGTATTAAAATCTTGCCGCGACGCGCGAAATCAGCTGTGTAAGGTCAACGCCACAAACGTACTAAAATTACCTAAAAAGCGGCATTGGCCGCGTGTTGTTAGGTATTTCGCGTCGTGTGGATCGTAAAATTTCAAATATATTGCGCGGTATCAAAACTAAGAAACGTTAATGTTATGACTGTAGTCCATTTCCGGCGGGAACCTAATTTGCCATCTGATTCAGACCATTCATCGGAATCAGCTGTTTTCGTTTTAATCAACCTTTCCCTTCCATCCTATATATAAATTATAAATAAATATATTTCAATTTTCAGGAGGCAGTAGAAGCACCCGAGAGGATTGTTCACCAGTTGAGAATCGACAACAGCGACGGTACCCCTGTCACACATTACTTTGCCCTCGTCTAACCAAGTTTTTCTAGAATAATTCTAGATTTCTAGTACACAGGTCTTACGGAGTTACAATATTTTAAATATTTTTTAAAACTGCGTTCAGCTTTTCTCGATTATTTTATATATTATTATGCTACAGAAATTATAAAAACCGATATTGATGAGTATTTTATCTTTTAATCAAAAGGATTAACTCCTATGGTGAATGTATACTATTTTTGTTAAAATTCAAGTTTTTTTTTATCAGCCTTAAGAAAAAGGTGATTTTTAATTGCATTATTTTAATGGTCTGATTTTAACAATTTAAAAAAAAATAATGTCCAACTTTACATTGTGATTAATTACTTGGCATATTTAAACAATTACGGTGTTTTTTTTTATCAATATGTGCGTAAAGTGAACCAATAATCAGTAAATGGGTATATAAAGTATAAAAAAAAAAACAAAACATATATCGCATACCTAGTAAAATATCGCTATAGTTTAAAATTGGTAAAATGGGTTTTTGTAATAAATATCTAGAGCAGATTTAACGGCCTAGCTAAAAAACTTCAGCTCTATCGGACACCAAGTCGAGACGTTACATTATTTAAGATTTTGTTTTGTTATCTCAGATCTTGATTTAAAAACTAAACTACTTAACCGTTTTCTATAAAATTTCTTTCAGATAAAAAAGAAAATAATTTTTCCAAATCTGTTTATATTATTATTATTGTTGTTGCTTAGATTTCTGTTTTGCACTAATTAGTGCCCATTCACTACTTCCTATGCCAGTGTTAAGTTGATTGGAAGAGATCTCTTTTAGAGATATGTTCACCTTTGCTTACATTGTTTCTAATTGTTATTACTGTATATTTTAGTGTAATAAAAAATATATATAAATGACGGAGTTCCGAGGTAATAAAATAAAAATACAACCGAACTGAAAACCTTTTCCTTTTTTAAGTTGGTTAAAAATAGATTGCAAGTTTTAAAAAGGCTCACATATTAAAGTACATACATGGTAACCTTTGTACAAAATTATAGCTTGTAAAACACTTTAGGTTGTTCCTTCACTAACTCACTTCATCAATTTTGTGTTAAGTTGATTTTTAACTAAGGATGCGATATATCGAATCGCTTTGCAAAATTGTCGCTTCAGTTACATGTACGCGATTTTAGAAATATATAAATTGAATGGATCTCTCAATTACTTACATTATAATACAGTGATATTTAATATAGATAATTAAGTATTCAATATGTAAGTAGTTTATCGAACAAATTTAATTGTAATATAATTGAATTATAATTGATTGAAGAATAATATGATTAATTAATATTTTATTTTGTTATTGTAAATATTAAATAAAATAAGATTTTAATTATTCTTTGTTTTTTTTTATTGACAATCCTATTTAAGTGAAAATGTGAGTTTGTAAAAGCTGCTTAATGGATTTCAATGAAATTTGATACGCAAGTGTCTTGATCCAGGATATATTCAGGTGGTATAACCTGGAACATGGAATACTTTTATCCAAATAAAACGAAGGATAAGCAAGCTAAAGTGGACAACCGATGCAAAAGAAAGATTTTTGAGTGACGACCTCGTACAGGGAAACGCAGTGTAGAATGACGATTCAATTAGATGTAGTGACGACCTCAAATGCATTCCAAGAGTCAGTGGATGCAGGTGGGGTCAGGACCGTTCCTTATGGCAATCTATGGAGGAGGCCTATTTCCAGCAGTGGACAGATAATGGCTGAATTGATGATGAAACAAAACCGTGGAATACAGTAGAATTATATCGTATTCAATATTTACAATGCAATATTTATACAGAATCAGTAACTGATAGGATTTAAACTATAAATAAAATAAAAAAAAAATAATATTATGTTGTATATAAACTTATCGCATACTCGTCGTGCCGTGCCAAATAAAACAACTAGATAATATGAAATTCAATATTATTTCGTTATGCTTTTTAATACAGTATATTTGCATACCATATACTATCGGTAGTATATTATTGATGACCGATCATTAAACAATGAAAAAATGATATTCATCAATTCTCGTTAACATTCTTTTAATAAATAGCTGTATACAAATAAACAATTATTTACAGGATAAGGCAGTACAAATACCACGTAATATGTGCCTTGTCTTATTTTAGCTATACAAGCAGTAAAAAAATGGAAATAACATTAAATGAATTAGGTCACATTAAACAAATACATAATCATCTTAATCTTACTCCAGTCAATTTGAAATAATTACTAACGAGTTAATTATAATAACAAATAAGCAGCATTAGTTTGTGAACATGTTATGTTAATGTGAGGGACAGTTTCCTTATAGAAAAATTAATGTACGCAATACACGATCATACATCCGACATTTTGGCTGTTACGTTTGAGACAACTAGTTCGTTTTGGAACGTATTGACCATCTCACTAATACATTATGGCAAACATTGCGTTTATACACTGAGTAAAACCGTTCGAGTAACGACATAACGCTGCAAATGTCGCACACATACGTTACGTTATACGAAGCGGCCGATGGTACGTGACCGTTTCCACGCCGCCGCACACACCTCGCGATATTAGTACAATAAGTTAGTGCCACACGTCATATCACAGAGTCTGTGCAACCGGGAAACTGTCGCCGAGCTCGGCGCAAATAAATTAACAACACAAACAGCGGGCATATTTAACATGATAGATAGACTTTCACAAATATAATGCCAAACGAACGAAGCTAATGCATATAAAACATACTGATTCGAGCTTACTAACCCTCCCTAACTGTACAATATGACACAGGCACCGAGCGCCGACCTCCGTCCAGCCACCGAGCAAAATTATCTATGACTTTGTAAACTTCGTTTACACGTATAACAAGCTCTGGACGGAGCGGCCTTTACAAACATCTTTCGACATCTCTTACACAAGCAAATAAACACATTCAATTAAATGTAACACAGCTCCCGTCCGAGAGAATGCACTAATCGTAATTGATAATGGACACTGGCACTATTGCCCTACCGTAGCGTTAACTGAAGAGTAAAAAAGGCTTGACTCGACTGCCGCCGGCGACTAGATAACGTGAATTGTTTAAATTTAGTATTTAATAGACTGGTTCCCGTTGGCGTTGCGGCCGGACGCTGGCTGGTTATATGACGAGAGCCATGTCCTTCTTGCTGGGCAGCTGCACCTTCTTGCCCTGCCACAGCGAGTTGTGTATCGTGAACGCGTCGATCGTCACCGTCAGGTGTTTCGTGTGCACTTGCGAGAAGCACTTGCTACCAGAGTTGTATCTGGAACATTAATTTATTGAAATGTTATTACTTTGTAATCAGGTATTACAATTTTGTATTCGGATCGATCACTTATTTAAGTAATAATATTATAATAATTGTATGTAAGCGATTGCTTAGGCGATAAGACTGCTTTTTATACTTCATAACACATATATATCTTTTTGTTTTATTCTTTAAATGGCGCAATAAAGTGTAAAAAATAAACAATTAAAATTACACTGATATTTTATATTAAATTTCAAGAACTATCACAAGAAGTAACAACAGTATCAATGCAGTATGGAATTCGTTTATTGGAAACGAACTTTACAATAGTAGTTTTACAATTAATGCCATCAATATACAAAAAAGTTAAACATTCCCAACAAAATGTGGAGTCGAATATTTACTGATAATATATAATAGAGAAATGCACAGTATATATATTTATTGATTTGCGTATTTTTTTTGTACATAACCCCATAAGGGGGATTGACAATAATTGCCACGCTTGACAGGCGGGTTAGTAATCTGTTTGTGTTTTGATCATGTTTTAAAAGGGACGACGCTGCCCATCCTTCCATAAGCTCCCTTAGTCGCCTCTTACGACACCTACGGGAAAGGAAGGGGTGACCCATTCTATGCCGGAACCTACACGGCCATATGCGCATTAAATAATAAAATGTATTATATATATATATATATATATATATATATATATATATATATATATATATATATATATATATATATATATATATATATATATATATATATATATATATATATATATATATATATATATATATATATATATATATATATATATTTTTTTTTTTTTTTTTTTTTAAATCCAAAGAAAATTTGACAATACACATCACTGGCAGGTTAATTTCTTGTACGCGTATGTCAATAATTAATGGGTTTTCTAACTGTGGTACTCACTTGAAAAACTTATCGAACATCCTGTCGTTGACGTGCTTAGGCCCGGTTCCGTACAACTTGGTGACTTGCTCCGTGTCCGGACAGTACGAGTACAGCGCCCGGAACTGGCAGCCGGCGTCCCTGAACAGCACGAGGAAGTGCTTGCTCTCGGAGCGCGCGATCTCCTCCAGCACCCGCCGCTTGGCCTCCGCGTTCACCGCCCCGGGGAACACGCAGTACTCCACCGCGTTCAGCATTATACCCCTGTTGGATTTGGTCGTCGGCTGCTTGTACAGTCTGGGACCTGGAAACGGCGGTGGTTTTAACCCGTGCGTGGCGTTAAGCTGGTGATTGTAGACGGCATAGTTCAATTGAGTTTCTGTTATTCGGAATTTACACGCTTGCTAAATCACGGCAAGCATCCATAAGCATAGATGTATAGACACGGCATATAGTTTGGCCTGCGTAAGCTTGCGATCTTTAGTTCCTTGAGTTCAGTGTATATCAAGCGTTCGTATATGCTTGCGCGTCCAAAACATAATTTTACAATAATCTTCTAAATTTTAACAATATTTACGGATTTATAAGTAAACAATATAGTTGGTTCACATTATACTATTTGCTATGTCAAAGAAACAGCCCACTTGATAAAAGGTGGTAACCATCGACTATAGAAATGAATATAACATAAATAAAGACAATTTTAAACCTTATGTATTATGAATAGCATTGCTGCTTCACGGCAGAAATAGGTGATGGCATACAAACTTTTTAAATTGCTGTATTTCATTTAACAAATTCAGTATCGTTCAAAAGTGGATTGATTCTTTACATTATTGGAAAATCCTATATACATATCCAAAATTAATGCATTTGGTCTCCCCCTAATATGAGAATGGTATGATAAATGCACAATGAATGCTTGATTAGTGCCGTGAATGTTTTTGGTGTTATTTCAAATCGTGAACAAGCTATGTCAGGAAGCGGTATCAAATGCAAATTCGTTGTTAGGTCAAAATGCTGTCAACTCATCACAAAACCATGCCTTATAAAATATTATATCTTAACGTATATATAAGATTTCAATACGTTTCCGTGTGTTGGCATGACATCGCTATATTACGATACTTTGTGACTGATTGTGTTTGATACTATCTACAATACTGTAAATAGTTTGAGCAGAGACCTTTGCGATGACCAGGATAGCTTGCTAAAAATAAATATTATATTTTAAAAAAAAGGTAACAGAATAGTGAGTCAGTTATAGGATTAGTATTTTTATAATCTATATTTCTATAGCACGACTGCGGATTCTGTGTAATTTTATTTCTTAATAATAAAATAACCATATTTGCAAACAGACTTAGACGGTTATCATACCATTATTCTAATACTAATCTTGTAATTGTTTATATTTATAATAAGTTTACTATTGTAATCTTTTGAAGGAAACAATAAAGAGTATCTATCTATCTATCTATTTTGCTTGTACACAAGTCGCAAGCTGCGTTGACATGATTAGAGTCCATAATCTTTGGTCGAGTGCAGTGGCACGAGCTAGCTCGTACAAGTGTTTGGTAACTATTTATCTAATTGGCTTCAGATCAATAGTTCTCACTACACGAGCAGAACGTTACATTAGAATAAAAGGCTCACTTCAAATACATCAATACAGTTTCGTTTTATTGGTCAACTATGACGATCTAATATGATTTGACGGACGAAACTTCTTAAACGTATTATAGAGGTATTTTTATTTTCAATCCAAAATCTAAAAACAAAATAAAATTTAAAAACCTTTATCTATTTTAGTATAATGTACAAAAACTTACAATTATCTATATTTAGAGCTCTTTTACTAAACAGTCGAACAAAAAATTGATACCCGCCTACACAAGCGTCGAGCGAATCTATCGATGGTATCGTTATCGGAAGCGAGCCCGTGAATTGGAACGAGACATGCGACGTTGCTATCTCATTCTATTTCACGAACTCGCTAGCGACGTCGATGTCATCGACGTATTCGCTGGTTGGTTGTGTTGCGTGGCGAGTGGAGGCGGGCGGGGTGGGGCGGGGTGGGGCGGGGCGAGGCGGGGCGCTCACCGGAGTAGTCCATGATGGAGGAGTGCGTGGAGGAGGCGTCGGAGGCGTCGTCGTGGTGCGCGAGGCGGCGCTTGCCGATGGCGCCGGGCAGCGAGCCGGGCCCGGACGCGGGCGAGCCCAGCGCGCGCACGCCCGGCGACGCGGCGCGCCGCGGCGGCGTCGCGCGGCCCAGCCCCGAGTCTGCGCACACCCGCGTTGCCTGCTACACTACCCGCACCGGGCCCGCCGCTGCCCCTCACACGGCCCGGCGGATTGTTGCTAATGCACGCTACCAGTCCCATTAGCAACTAGCAATAAACCTTCACGTGATCCCCCTTGGAAACCATCGTGCTGAATTTCAGGTGTATTCATCACAATGGGGTAACTAACCTGCTTTTTCATCCTCACCTATCATCCCTCACTGGTGTCCCGCCAGTGTATACCGTTAGCGCAGGCGGGGTTACCATTCCATTATCATCTATTTAAAAATAAAACTACCCCCATACACTCGTGCCATGTCGCCACCGGCACCGGCAGTAGGTCGACTACACGACACGGGAGTGATAATTACCCTCAGATACCTAAACATCTGACTACCACTCTCGTGCCACCCATAATGGATGGCACGGATAACCCATAAGATACAACTGCCCCTTAAAGTAAGACTGATCATTGTAGCTCAATGATTGCCAATTAATTGACTAGAGTCATCCACTACCCGACCCTATATAAGACACGGGAGTGACAATTCCCCCTCAAATAGATATAATATGCATTATGTTTTGTGGTTATATCCAGATATTATCAAATATAATTGAGCAACAAAACATTAGTCTCTTTTAAATTCTTGTATTTTTTGTTCATTATTTACAAATCGATACAAAACAACAATAAATTGTCAATCCCCATATTCTAAGAATCTTCTCGTACAATGCTAATACTAAAAAATCTAATTTTACATAACTTAAACTATCGTTACCTCCTGTTAGTGACTTATCAAAATTAGAACGGTTACCAATTATATTATTGACTAGCATAAAATTAAAATTAGTATAAAGGATTATTTATTAAATAACCTAATTAGTTGAAATAATTTCTAAACATGACCGATCGCAAATTAATATAGCGCGTAAAATACTAAATGTGACACAACAATTAAACCTACCGCTAAGCAAAATCAAAAAGGCGAAACGGAACAAAAGAAGCGAATAAAACATTTTGTATTTTACGCATAAATACATAATACGCGTTATATACTATATTTAGCGATTGTACTAATGATTGAAACAAACATACAGTATGTAACACTAGCACCTTGATACTCCATACAAAATTCTGCACTTGACAAAAATAATTTACTAAAAAAAAAAATCATGTATTTAGTAAAACATCTATATTTAACTCAAAATTGGAAAATGAATTTTAGTGACATATCTATCTAAAAAAAGATCAGATTTCACAATTTAGTATAAGAAAGAAGTATAAAGAAAAAAAATCTTTTTTCTTAGGACATTATATGAGTAAAATTTATTTTGTCAATTTTGAGTTTATGTCGATATTCTACTAAGGGGATAATATTTAACGTTTAACAATTAATTTATTATTAAAGTTAAATAACAAAGGTTGTATGATTCTGTTTATCATATTGTATAACTGTTGGAATTGTTCAGAATTTGGTAGTGAGTATTCAACAAGTGTGTGCCTGTATGTTAGACGATGTCACACCAACACCAGAAAATAATGTAACGCACATGCCATAACGAGCCGAAACGAAAGAAAGACACCACAACCATTTATACGTACATAGATAATTGTCAATGACCCAAAAGAAAATAATGTGCACAAGACGAAAGTAAGACAGGCCGGCGGTGTCATTTATTTTATATAAATTTAATATTTTTTTTTTACAAATACTTTGTCTATACAAATCATTGACTTTACATAGATAAACAACATGAATTTTTAATTAAAAATAAAAGAAAAATATAATTAATATAGACAATGTTAGATTATTTTCACTGAATTACATTTACAAAGATAAGAAAGTGAGAAACGTACACGAGATATTGAAAGATTAATCGAACAATAACATCCGCCGGCGCCAGCAACGGAAAAGAAACCCAACGCACCATATTATAAGCGACGGTACACCGTCATACCGACGTGAGTAAAGCTTTATTCTGTGTTTGAATAAACTTCTCTTACCGCACAAGTTCATAAGAGAGCTAGACTTCCTTCCCGCCTTAAAGTTACTCTGGTAAGTGGAATATTTAGACCTTCCACGTGACGTCTGAGGTTCCTCATTCACACGCTCTGAAATGTTTCCTATACATGTCATGACGCATTCTCATGCAAGGCGAAATCCATTCGGTTATAGTATATATATATAGCAGTCAATGTATCGATAACGCGACGCATCTCGCGTCGAAAGCATGCATCGTTCACATAAAGCAGGCTCCGTTACACGACTTTATGATCACTCATAATATCGGAAACACTGATATAATTATATAATTTAGCAAACAAAATTAATAACTAACGCCGCGACAATGGCTGAACTCTTTTACTGGATGATTTCAGTACAATTACAATGGAACCGACTCGAGTAATGCGCGGAAGGTCTAGCGTTTGCATATTTGGGAATGATATAAAATTTGGATAAAGCTTTTGAATAAAAACCTCTCACTTTAGTCCAGGTTGCAAACTACTAAATGCCAAAAAGGTATAATAAAAAAAGCATAATTTGCAGGATGAGGTGTGTCTAAAACTATGCATTGCTGAAATCATACACATATAAATTATAAAGGTATCTATTTATAAAAAAAAAAAAATAATAATAATAAATAAATTCGAAGCGTTCTACAAAATAATTTAAAAAAAGCCTCCTAAATATCCGTTTGCATTGAGCCACACGTTTAACCATACAACCACGCGTTTGGAGCAATACTCAAAGCATAGTCGATTGTTTTTTTTTTTACTATTGTGACAATACCATTCTTGTTGTTCATTTACAATCGACATATGGATTTGTTTATTAAACAAAAGATTGCACAAAAATAAATATATAGGTATCATTGTGCAATTTGTGTACAATAAAACGATAAAAAAAAATCTGTTAAGGACCTATAAATATAATGTAAGTGTTAACTAAAATGATATTTATAAGTCCTCATTACAAGTAAAAATTGTATCATATTTATTGTGATATACAAATACTTAAAAAAAAAAAACAATTTAATACTAGATATTCAAGACATTTATGTTAAAACTATCGTATGACAACATTAACACAAATGACCTATTTTATTTTTTCAACATAAGTTGTCTGTAAACATCCAAAATGACAACCGATCAAAGAATTTTTTTTTTAATTCCACATTAATTGATAATAGCAGTTAGTTACAATAAAAAAAATCAAAACAAAATCAGACTAAACTCACACACAAGTTGTCATTTAGGAGCGGGGAAAACACTGCAAAGCGTACGGCTTAGGGTTATATACGAGAGTTGATATGGCAACACACATATACGCATGAGTGGGTACTACCGATCTTACTACCGAATTAGAACATAACAATGTTCTAATTCAAATTAGTTTTTTATTCAAAATTATTCAAAACTTCCAATATTTTAAGGCATAATATACTTATATTATACTGTTTTTTTAAAACTGTTATTATAAGTGTTGCCAATATAAAGAAATATAATCCTTTAAGAAAAAAAGAATTTCTTTTAGAATATTCTATATTTTTCAAATAACTATCAATGTTAGATATATTACATATAATTAATAAATTACGGTTTAATTTTACATTTTAAGGGAGACAACATATAATATAAAATTAGATCGGTAGTATGTCACATCGTGCATTCACAATTAATCTATATCATACAGTAATAAATACATACGTTTTCAATGGCCAGGTATGTTAAAAATCATACATTATAAAAGTTATAATAGTAATGTAGACTAAATTTTACAACTAACCCATATGGGAGCAATGGGGGTAAGTTATAGATAAAAACATAGTTCATAATAAAAACATTTAATTAATTACTGTATAATATATTAATTGAGTGAGTAGGTCAGAGCCACGCAAATTCTAAAACCTCTGTAACAACCTTGTCACTGTAAGCAACTAACTTTAACTCGTTATAAATTAGCTTTCTCACACCTTAATGTTTACTGTGACAAGGTTACATTAGAGACATGACGCAGCGTCGCAAGCGCACGCCACTCACCTCTGGAGGTCTTGCAGGAGCCGCGCCGGCCCAGCGGGCCGCTGGAGGCGCTGCCCGGGGACATGCCGCCGCGGTCCTCCACGGGGGACTCTACCGGGGTTACTACAACCGGCATGTGGATTAGTCACACACGATTAGACACAGTAAGAGGGTTCCACGAAACATTCCTTTAGATCAAAACAAAATTGTATTTAGTTTCGTTAACATAAGGCTCGATTTTAAATGACAACAATATGTGGTTGACATTTAAAACAGAATTCTAATGTCAACGCCGTTAAGTCCAATATAATTTTTTTAGCTAAAGGAATTCTTCGGGAAACGAAGTCATAGATATAGAAGTTAGGTCAAGTTATGACATATTTATAAATAAAAATATATATCAATTATTAGGATATAACAATAGAGTATATGCCCACTTGGCTATAAATAAAAAAAAATAGAACATTTTATTTTAGAAACAAAAATAGAAAATTGCATATTTGTACGTAATATTTTTTAAAAAAGAGACGTAAACGGGAACATTTTCTTATTCATATGACATCATTTCTACCGACACAGCATATACTCTATTTCTTCTTGAAAATACAACGTTAATACGAAGAGCAGAGAGAAAGATAGAATTTTTACTTCATTAATGATTAATGTCTGATCAAGATGAGAACAAAATTAAAAAATTATCACCATTTTATGTAAGTTTTCATATAATATCTTAACCGTATTTTGTTATAACAAAACTACTAGGTTAGATTTAAATATAATTTGTTATAACAATGTTTAGAAAACATTTATTTTATTGTTAAAAAACTACCATCACCGTGACGATTAAAATGTACATAAAATAGTTTAATAAACGAAGGGAAAGCTATCACTGATAACGTTACTTTAGTGAATATTTACTGATATTTTTTTTATAAAAAATGTTGCCAGTAATATACAATTTTATTATATCAGTAATTTAGTATTATTTTTACTACAATTCATGTAGAAAAGTCTCATGTTATTCTTTTAACTTTACTAACTCTAAGTAATGTTAACTTGAACTAAGTTTTATTTTTCCTTGATTGTTATCACCCATCTGAAATGATCCTTATAACATTCTACTCTATATGAATAATGTATGTAATGATTGTATAGTGTAGTCATTTCGATTGCATACAAATACAAAACAGGGCAAATGAAAATTAAATGGGACATCATACATTATGTTATCATGCAACATTTTCATGCACATTTTAAGCATTCGACGCACGATATTGCAGTATTTTCAGGCATATAAGATGAAACTTTTGTACGTAATAAAAAAAAAATTTAAAAACTTACAATATATCCATTTTTAATGAACTCATTCTCAGATTAAAAATCTACCACATTATTTCATATTAAATATTTTCTCAATATGGAACTCAACACTTGTTTTTATACATAATATTCTGAATAAACGAACATTTACTTATTCAATACATGCTTTACTTCGTCACCGAGTGTCACTAAATTATATTCATGTACTAGTTAACGAACTAAAGTTTAGTTTTAGTTAGTTAACTATATTCTTGTTAGTATTTATCACGAATTATAACGGACTTATGAATAGATAATTTTTCGTACTTCATAATCATAAAAGTATCAATATGCACCCCGTCAAGATCAAAAACTAAATTATTCATAAAAAAAATATAAAATAAAAAATTTTTGCTATTGTGAGGCAACTTACCCCTGTAGAGGCCGGCGCGTTCCGCGAGACTGTCCTGCGAGCCGCGGTAGTAGTCGCGCCGCATCGTGCCGCCCGCTGTACACACGACACACGTATAATACGACGCAATACAGAGACCCTCCTCACACCACTAAGTACGACCGACGTCGACCGCCACAACATTTGGCCGGGTTACTGTCAATCCTCTGTATTGTGCCGTATTTGTACACACACAGCGCATAGATGCAACGGTACAGCCGCAAAAGAAATAAACACAAAATATTTATAAACGCGGTCATTCTATTGGCAGTGACGAATATAGGGTTGCCATCTAAAAAATCAAAAAACTAGAAAAAGTATTTAGAAAATTTCGGAATACCCATTTGATTGCCATTATAAAAAAAAATTAAACATGTAACAAATTCTGAATCTATAAAATGAGAAATTTCCCGGATACCTTTCAAGCGAAAACAAATTATCTGAATTTAAAAGTCCGTAAGGATGGCAACCCTACGCAAAAAACATAATTATTAAGGGCATTTCTTGCTGGTATTTTACACATTAAATGTGAAAAAAGGGGTTTATAAACAAAAATGCACAAGCTAAATACTCAGTGCATAGTTAAAAAAATAGGGAAGTAACAATCAAGCAAGCAAAAATTAACAACGTTTAAATTTAGAAAACAAACGCCGCGTAATGTAACTGTGAAATATCTCATTTTCTTTTTTTATAAGTGCTCTTATTGATAACATTGTTGTAATTACTTCCCAACTCAGACATCAAGTTCTCAGAGATCACAGTTACATTAAGAGCATAGTCATTTTCTTGTAGTGTAATGTCGTAAAATTTGAACGTGTATGTGTAACGACCACATGTCTGATGCTGGAAAACGTTGAAACACACCATCTAGAGGAGATCAATATTAATTTTTTGTTTAGTGTTTATTTTACATCATTATATTCACATTTGTGTTATATATTCAATTTCTTTTTTTACTAGGTGTTATTTAGTTTTTTATCTTTAATTGTACATCATTATATTACAAGAGATCATTTGTGTTTAATCTGAGTTATGACAAAAAATTTTACAATACAATACAATTTGTCTAAAGACAAAAAAGTGTCGGAGGCCCTGGTCGCCTCACCTGCGAGATTGGTGGTGGAGGGCTGCTTGCCGGCGAGCATGCCCTCGGCGGCCTGCAGCGCGCCGCCGTCCACGTGTATGGTCTTGGGACGCGCGCGGGTGGCGGCGGCGCGGCCGCGCATGCGCGCGCCGGCCGGGCTGGCCGCCGCCGCCGGCTGCATGCCGCCGCTCTTCAGCGCCTCTAGGAACTCCGACTTGTCCAGAACCTTGCCCTGTAATTTAATGCCGTTCTATTTTAGAAAATTCTCTTGCTTTTTTATATTATATAAAAGTCAATTTATTTGTTACCTCTTAGCGCCATAACGGCTAAACCGATTTTTATGAAATTTGGTATATACGTAGTATTTGGGATAGAGAAGAACGTAGCGTACTTTTTTACCCCGGTGACGTGGACGAGATTACGCGTGGGTAAACAGTAGAGCGCGCAGTGCGTACCTCCCGCTCGGCCTCCTCGATGGCCTTCTTGAGCTTGTACTGCGTGAGGATGGCCTCGCGGCGGCGCGCCTGCTCCTCCTTGCGCGCCTGCTTGCGCTCGGCGGCGGCGTCGTCCCGCGCGCGGCGCGCCGCCGCCGCCTGCTCGGCGCGCGCGCGGGCCTCGTCGGCGCGCTGCCGCCGCTGCAGCGACAGCATCATGATGCGCTCCTTCTTGCGCTCCATCTCCTCCGCCGAGTTCTGCGTTATTACAATCATAATCACTACCACACACTACATCACACTAATCGCCTGCTCCTCCAACTAGTATATACTTTGTATTGTGAAAAAGAAATGTTCGTAATGAAGACTCATCCCAAATCAATATCAGATCGTCCTCTACTCGCTTCCACCCAGAAACTATCGTCGTTAACTCTTGGTGAATTCATCACGATCGGCTTTTGATCTAATGTCATCTTCACTTATCAGTACTCACTGGTTCCTTGTCAGAATATACCGATAATACAGGCGAGGTTACCATTCTATTTTCAATCCATAACCTTAAAAACCGTGTGTGATAATTAACAAGGCAGTGAACGTCTGAGGCCACAACACAGAACATCTAGTCTCCCGTTACAGTTCGCCTTAGTTCTTTCTGAAACGTAGTGTGAAAAAACATGACCCTATCGTCCAATACTAGTCTAGGGATAAAATCGAGAGACATTTCGTAAGAAATCGCAACACATTTACTTTCAGTATTTTAATTATCAACAATAATATTTTTTGTCCACATAGATAGAGAACGATACTCATGTTCTCCATACAATTATAACAGAAATGTCTGTCGAAATTGAAGGATAAAATTGAAAATAACAATAAACTGATAAAAGTTAAAAAGTTAAAAAAGCTAAAGATTTCAAATAATGACTAAAACTCTATCAAAATCATACTCGTAATAAACAAGTTAATAAACTCACCGGATCAGGATTCAATTCGCCAATGACTAAGGCCGCCGGCTCGGCGTTGTTGCGTTGTGGTCGTTCTCTAGGTGGCGTTTCTCTGCGCTCCGAAGAAACGTCATTAGATCGAACCGCCTGCTCCAACCCCGTATTCCTGTGTACCACGAACTCCTCCTCCACGGGCTGCGGCACGCGATCGTTCTGCATCCACGTGTTCTCCGGACTTAACTCCGGACTCTCAAATTCCGACGACCTCTCCTTTTTAGGCGATCCCCTTTTCGCCCGTAAAGGCGGTTTCGGTCGCTTTGGCTGGTCGTTATCGAACGATATATAGAAGCCTTTCTCGTTCTTTTCGCTAGGTTCCTCTTGCTCGATTTGCTGGAATGAATTACGACTAAGAGATGGCCTAGTAGGAGAGGGTATACGGTACGTTCTAGTGCCAGATGAGATGTTCAGTCTATTGATTCCTTGGCGTAGCGCGTCGTCCTCTGCGTTGCCGATGAAGGATATATTCTGCGGTTCCATATCGTCCGGGGGAGGAGCGTGTACGGGCGTTTGTAACTGCTGCAAACTGACCGGTTCCGGTCTTCTAGAGACTTCTGGAAGGGAGCCTTGCCGTTGTGGGGTTTTCGATCGGCGCTGCGGGCTTGCCGCCAGCGGAGGTGACTGGGAGACATATTGGTTGGAGTTTATCACAGTGTAGCTTAAATGGTTTTGTGTTTCTCGAATGTTCTCGGTGCCGTTCTGGTACCGGTCGTTGTTGTAGTGCACTTGGAAGGGCTGGTTAGTCCTATCGTGTAACACAAAGCCCTGGGGATTCCAATTTCGATCTGAGGGCGGTTGGGGGGACGGTGACTTCCACGTTCGTTGCGGTGTCTCGTGGGTCGGCTGTTGGTATTGAGGTTGGTGGTTTTGTTGGTGAAGCTGTAAAATGACAAATTAATATGTTAAAATATTATCCACGATAGTAGATATTTATTTTTATTGTTAGGGAAGCGAACGAGCAAACGGTCCACATGATGGAAAGCGGCTACCGTCGTCCATGGACATCTGCTGTGCGTTGTCGGCCTTCTTATATATATACTTCTAGACGTGCGTACACTTTAGTTTTTGAAGCATATCGATAGTGGAGTTATTGCATTGCGTATTCTGCAGTTAACAAATTGCTCTGTGTTGATTGGTATAAGCGGGCGAGTGCTGTACGTCTTTTGTTTTCATACTAACCGTGTCACCCCCACCAATTGTATACAAGTGTTGCAATGGCAATCCAGTAAGAGTAATACATTACATGGACGTAACTGAGGATAGTCGATGAGATTTATAAAAACCCGGCTTCTTCTGATACTGATTGACATAACACTAAAAAGGCGAAAAAAACCAAGTCTTTTTAGATTTACACAGACATGACTAGTATTTGCCGGAAACCTGAATGCATCGCCTCTTCACATGTTCCAGCTGTTGAGTCAGTGTTTTTGGAGTACAATGTAAACTTTCACACGTACCGGTTGACAAGACGTAAAAGTACAACCGTAAAGGTTGCTGTTTGTCGAACTTTGATCGCGGCCATCATGAAATTTTTGTACATTATTTTACTGACGTCCTTTGTCTTATATTTTTATTTTGACAAGTTAAGATGGGAAAAAAAAACAATTCATACGGTATAACTACCACTTTCCATTTAATAGACCGTTGTCAACTTGCCACTCGTCTTTATAAAAAAATATTTGTTCATTCAACCGGATCGGATGAAAGCTCATATAAATATTAAGTACTCAGGAGCCGGATCATGCAAAGAGTCACAACGAGTGCATGACAAACCTGCCAGCCACGCAGCTCGGGCGAGTCGTGGTGCTGTTGTGCGGTCTGTTGCTGAGCGTGCTGCGCCCACGTGCGTCGCTGCGGCTGCGGCTGCGGCGCGTCGTGCAGGAAGAACTGCTGACCGTACTCCTGCTCTATGTCCCTATACTGGTTGTACTGGTATTGCTCGTAGGCGGGTGTGGGAGCGGGGGTGGGGGCAGATGCGGGGTACTGGTAGTGCAGGTCGCGCGGCAGGTGCGGCGTGGACCCGAAGCCGCCGCCCAGCGCCGCACGCGACACGTTGTGTTGCGAGCTGAATTGACTGTGCTGCAATGTTACACGCTGATTCATCTCTGCTTGCCAATTAATAGCTTATTTCACAATCATGTCTTTTTTACCCATTGTAAGCAATATCAAGTGCCTTGGTATATAGAAATATAATATACACTAATATATAAGATTGATAAGATACACCATAATAGGACATGCCAATCATCTCCATATAAAGAACCGAAAAGTGTATATAATAAACTGTTGTCGGAAAATGGAAACGAATAAACGAAACCAATACAGTTTCTCTTGATATATATATATATATATATATATATATATATATATATATATATATATATATATATATATATATATATATATATGCAATTTTCATGCATTCGTATTCATTTTTATATCGTATTTCTGCATCATTATGTAGACAAGCAAATATCTATTGCTTTTAAAGTGAAACTATGGATTTGTAACAGTATTATTTTCTACAGGTCTTTGAACAGACAAAAATAGAATCTGTCATAATTTTAAGATTGTGAAATAAACTTAGACTGTGACATGAGCGGTGATGTAAGTAATTTTGCAATTAGTTACATATTTAACATTAGACATTTGGAAAAGCGACACTACGACAATACGTTAATTCTTATTCATAATTAATTTATTATACAATTGGTTTTAATAGGCAATTTTAAATGCAAGTGAAAGATAGAGACTATACTGTATTACAGAGTTGAAATAATAACGTATATACCAAAGGCGGCTAACCGGTCGATCGCGACTATTAGTCCAGTCGATCGTGGCAAGGCAAAAAAATATAATATTTTGCTAATCTAACGGAAGATGCTCAGACGCAATGCTCACGCTAATATAAATAAGTAGTTGCTAAGAATAATTTTCATATTTATTTTTTCCTTCTTAATAAAATAAAAAAACTTCTACAATTCCACATAATTGTGAACTGAACTATGTTGTTTCATTTCAGATTTCAAGAAGTATTTAATTGGTAGATTGCACAGAGTTTTGTCAGTAAACAGTAGATCTTGGGTCTAGTCAAGTCGGCCACACCCAGTATATAGCCTATATTCATAAGATAAAAGATAGTAATTTAGCTTACATTTGAATATCGTAGATTACACAGAAGATGGCATAAGTACGAAAGATATGATGTAGTTATCTATTAAGAAACAGATAAACAATTATGTCATATTAAGTAACGATCTGTTCTTTTAAGCATGTTCCTTAAACACGCATTTTGGTTAAGTGAGTGAACCGTTCAATCCCTTTTGATTTAATGTTTTGTTAATGTCAACTAGCTAACATTTTTATCTTCTAGTTTGTTTATAGTTAACTAACCTGTTTCTATTTTGAGACCTCATTCTGTCCTGTTTGCTTTTATATCTAAATCCACATTAATATTATAGCTTAGAAAAAAGCAAATGTTATTATATGCAGATTGAGTATAGTACAAGCGACAAGCTATTAAAACACATACCAATTGTGGAATGTTCTGTTGGTACTGTTGTTGGTAAGGCGACTGGGGTGGTTGCGGTTGGAACAATTGCTTCGCTTGTTGCTGTTGCAGTTGTTGTTGCTGTTGCAGCTGTTGTTGCTGCTGCAGTTGCTGTTGTTGTTGCTGCAACTGTTGTTGTTGCTGTTGTATTTGCTGTTGCTGTTGCTGCTGCTGCAACTGGGACTGCTGGCTGGCGAGCCGCGCGATATCGCTCTGTATGTCCTGTAGGCTGGAGTTCATTCTGCAATTATTTAGTATTAGTTGCCATTTGATTATGTGCACAGTCAATTGTGCTTTATATGTTTTTTTAGTAAAATTTACGCGTATTCCTTAAAAGAGAAAAATTTAAATTATATATAAAAAGATTTATTTATTTAATCTTTATTCACCACATTGAAAAAAAAAATTAAAATAAGGCGGATTAAATATTACTTTTTATGCAGCGCGAATGGCAATAAAACATACAATCCAACTGATGGTAATCGACAACTATAAAGATTTCAAACATCAAATACAGGTTGAAACATTATGCCCAGTAATTTAATTGCCATATCTTTTAACATATATGAAGTGAATTATCTGGTAACAGAAATAATCTGGTTACTTGAGATTAAGATGTCATGTAAACAATATTATATAAATCTACCCTTTAGGCGACATTTAGATAGACAGAAGTCGAAGAACAAATGTCATCCATAGTTTTCCTGACATAATGGATGTGCATAAAATGAACAAATGACTGCATATGTATGTTTTTATTGATATTAATTAACATACATTTAGCATTGTTATGAATAATTTCTTTTACCTTGAAGTTGTGTGGAAAACATTACTTGGCAATAAGACTAGTAAACACTTAATGTCTATACAGTATCTATCAATCATATCTAAGCAATAAAATTTTAAATAAATATTTGTTTTCTTACTTGGCAATAGACTGCTGGTACTGTTCCAGCGCGACTGTGTCCACAGTTTGGTTTGACGTGTCCGCTAAGTCCTATATAACAGTTTATACTATATTATATAACAGAATGCAACACTAACCTATTTTTAAAACTTAAATTTTAATGGTGTGTATATATACAACGGGAATTTTCTCGTCTCGTTTCGTCTCGCTGTTACACAAGGCGTCATACGCCCCCTGAAGAAGACCTCAAAGGCCTGAAGCCAAAATAACTGGATTTTATTGGTTGTTTCCACAAAAAAAAAGACTTCAATTGTAGCAAAATAACGAATTTTGATTTCAAAACTACACTATTGAACCGATTTTGATAATATTTTTATGAATTCAATCTGTAAATATATCCTTTCAGATAAAAAAAGGATTTTCCAAATTTGTTTATTACTGACGGAGTTATGAAGTAACAAACATAAAAACAATACAATCGAATTGACAACCTCCTTCTTTTTGAAGTCGGTTGAAAAGTAGCTAATCATTTCGATTCCACCCTGTGTAACAATTATATATAATTACCACTTGATGCTGCAACCCATGAATTAAACTAAAGTTACCCACTCGCGTGTTGCCAACCCAAAATTTCTAACAAATACAAAAAAAATATGCTGTGATATACGTATATATTTACGTGCAAACCATAAATAAATAGACAAACAATAATTTGGAATAAGCATGCAACATTAATCCAATAGTGTACCAAATACATGCAACCAAAGAATTTTACAATTCTCAATTACTTCTTCATGCAAACCCCACGGAACCCACACACGTAAGTACATTACAAGTACTGATAAGGAAAAAGCTTTATATAATCTATTTTTTAATTTTGTCTAAACGACCGCCAAAGTGTTTTATTTGGTTTAAGAACCTATTTAAATATAATATATATATATATACTTTCCTGATTGTGAACCGATTTTAATGAGTTTTTTGTGGTTAAATTAATAAATTACATATACAAATTAAAATTACATAGCAAGGAATAAAAAACGTAATTGCAAGCAAAGTATGGACCCCTCAAAATCACTTATGTTAGATAAATGAACTTCTTATTAACTTTACAATAGAGACCTCTTGAAAAAACTTTTTACGGTAGAAATACAGCTATGGAAGCATTGCAGAATTGAATTCTAGCATTTATCATTTGAGATTATCCAAGAAATTTGAAATCAAATGGAAGTTTCAAATATTAAAATTTTTAAATCAACTTTAATGGACTTTCACGCATTTTACCGTTATCTACCATATCGTTTATACCCTCTTATTATAAAAAGCTAAACATCGGCGAGTATATTCTATCTCGCTTCAACTTAGGGTTGTCAACTTCAAAGATAAAATTAACTTAAATTTTGTGTTCATGTTGTAATCGCAATTTGATTTTAAATTTCTTATGACCACCTCAATCTTATATTGAGTAGGAAGACGACGTAGGGCGAGGCGGTCGTTACCTGGTTGGTTTCAGCCTGCTTGGCGTCATCGTCGGCGGCCTGCCGCGAGCCCTTGCCCTGCAACCACCCACACCCGCCGTCACATCGGCCACACAGCGTGTGGAACGTTGATTGGGATATAAGGCCAGTTTTACTATCGAGATACGCCACCCGTTACTATGTCGACATTAACAAAACAACGGAAGGTCCGTTGTACGATTACCCGGCATTTGGCCGGCACGACGGCGCGGTCACGTTTCACGTTCAAATACTATAGTTGAATATAAAAATTTGGAAACATTTTAAAACAACCATAGTGGCTACTGTTGACAAATACCTCTACCCCGCCTAGGACTATGGGAGCTGAATATATATATTTTTTGTTTTCATTCAGAAATTTTAAATAATAAAAACAAATAATAAAATACTCGATTGAACACATCACTCAGTTATCCGGAACGAGTGCATTTCTAATTAACTATAAAAAATTGGTCAATTCATCAAATAGCATTATTAAAAATATTACAAATGGGACAACATTGGGTGCGAATCGATTAAATATTTCATTCTAGCAAATTCCAGGACTTGGTGAAATTTGCAGAAAAAGTGCAAACAATCACTCTTTAAACAACACAATACTGGGTATAAGTATCCTTTATTATTAAAGCAGTGTAGCGACTTCTTACAGGGTGTAATATACAAAGGGGTGGACACTTATATACCAATCAACTGGAACATGCTTTAAAACAGTGTAAACATAATTAATCTGTACTTTTTATACTTGACCTATTTAGTAAACAACTATGATGTCTTTTTATCGAAACAACATTGAAGATAGAATAAAAAAAAAAGTTAATATATTTTTTTATCTGTTCTACTTTTAAATTTCAAATTTCGAATTAAGACATGCTAAATTTGTTTCCTCAATATGCCAAGTACAAACACAGATTATACAATACTAATGGGTGTCATTATTTCCTGTGCTTAATTAGTGGCTCTGTTTTATTATTACAAAAGTGTAATTATGGAAATTGCCTGAAATATGACAGTAAAATATAATATATAATAATTGTCTATTAACATTATTACGTAAACAAAAGCAGATCAAACGAATGGCATCTTCAAAATTATCGTCAAAATATGGCTCTGCGCAACGCAACAATATGAATGTCGAAATGATTTTAATTGTAATGAATTAAAAGAAAGCTGCCTCAATCTACAACAGAAGATTAGGCAAAACCTTATTTGTAGCAACTAGCTTTAAGCATTGAATAGTAAAAATTGTATATCTCAAAAAATATCAATATCTATTACACTACACGATGCCAATTTTAGAATATATCGTAATTGAAACTTTTATATATTCGAAAAATGTTTGGAATATCAATGAAAGCTTTATAAAGCGTGTACTAATTCGGACTGTACAAGTTCTGACAATATATTACAAAGTGATAAGATTAAAAAGGAAATAAAATAAAAATATACTAAAACTAAACTTGAGGGCATATCTTAAAACTGGCCACTCACCAAAGAGGCCAGCTGGTAATGCAAATATGCATCCTAATAAAAAAAAATAGAAAAATATATTTTATATTCATACTTGTAGAAAGAAGTTTTGTATTAGTTACATGTTATTAAAGTGTTTCATAAAACTAAATACATTAGATATTTCACATTATGTAGTAAAAAATAAATATTTTACGTCAGAAATAAATAAAAAAAAAACTCTATTGTTGAGGATTACAGATTACCTATATTTAATGTGACATGTAGGCATATATGACAATATATACAAATCCAGATTAATTCATGAATTTTCAATACAGTAAAACACATTCATTTATTCAGCCATTTGGTAATTTAAATATTACTGATTATGAAATTAGTTCTAATAACTGCCTGAAAAAAAAAATCGAAACAGGTAGGATATGCACTTGCGCACTACCATTGCTCTTATTATTTGAACTACTGTTTTACTACATTTAATAAAGCAAACAACCTAAACTGGGTTCCTTTACAAGAACACATGTTATTTATTGAAAAAAAATCATCAAAAATAAAAAATACTGGCCAGTTTCTTAGCTATATTACGATTAAGTGAGATTTCTTTTTTTTATTTTTACTCCATATTTAAAAGTTAAATCTACATGTAATCTTATATGTTTGATAATGTTGGCCTCGGGTCACATCAGATATAGGTACGCACTGTATAGAATCACATCATTCATAATAATCATATTACCTAATATCATAAGACAAAAGTTTCTGAGAAGTCTTGCTTTTAATGACAAGGTATAATCAAGTTTTCAGATTTATATTCTAAAGATTTTTTTAAATATTTAGTTTTATGAACATGCAGGTGTGTATAGTCTGTTAGAGTAAAACATTATTTAAAAAAAGAACAAATAACAAAAGAAAAAAATGTTCACAATTTAATATAATGTAAGTAATACTTATTTAGAATACAATACTCGTTTAAATACTAGACACACGTCTACCAAACCTTGGTATATCACCACATCCATGTCTTTCAAACAAAACACTATTGATAATTCACCACCACCTATATGACTACCCAATAGCACACTTCATCAAGGCACAACAAAACATATCGAATACCAAATATCTATCGCACACTTTAAAACAAACCACCCTGTTATAAAATGTTTATTACAGTTATAATCTAAACCAACCATCTTATAATGATAAAAACCTCACATCATCATCATCATCATCATCATATCAGCCTTTAACTGTCCACTGCTGAACATAAGCCTTCCTCTTGGGGACTTTTGCCAATAGTTGCCATACACTTTGAAGATGCTTTAAGAGAGACGCTGCTGCCCTTCCCTCGCCCTCCCTTAGTCGTCTCTTACGACATCCGCGGGAAAGGAAGGGGGAGGGGGAGGGGGGACAGCAACGTCACATGTCTGTAAATAAATCTAATAAAAAATTGTAATTTCAGTGTTGCATCTTTTTCCCTCGACCAATAATTTTAATTTTAACAAAAGTGACAAGACAAATAATAATATAATAATATGTAAGGATTTTCGAAGGTTTTCTATAGAACATATTTTTGAGTATTCATTAACATACAGACAGAATTTAATTGTATTGTTCGACAATAACAGTCACGATAAATTAGAATGAACAATTTTAATGTACCATCTTGAATTCGGACAACACTTTGTATGCATATTTATTGTTATGTGTCGTCTAAACGGGCCACAATGAAATATGTACCCGCTTATAAGGTAATCCGGTAGCCATAAAATAACATACCTTTCATTATTATGTTTCTAACTAGTAAAGTAATATATTGGAAAGATACATGTCACGTGTCTGATTAGATTATATAAGTCTATAATAAATTATTATTATTATTAGTATTTACTTTCTCACTTTAGTATAAGTATTCGTAAAATGTATGTGGCTTTACTATTTAAATGTTTATTTATAAAAAGGATTTATTTTAGCAAATTTTAAAGTTGAAAATAAAAATAGTTTTAAATTAATTAGGAGTAGATTTCCTTTCAGATTACTGGACATTAGAATAAAATGTGTTATGAAATACTTTTACAAGTAGGTATCCTGTTTAGTTATTTACTCGTAAATATAGGAGTGTCCTGGTTAAAGTATCGAGTGATTTATTAGTATTAATGGAAAGTTGCCACTCATACATTTGTCCCCTTTTAGAGAACAATATTTCATAGCAATTTTGTGTACACTCTCAGTTAAGAATTAAATTCAAAAAGTAAATTTAAAAAAAAAAATCATAATCAGTTCTTTTAAACAAGTTTTATCGTAAAATAAAAACTATGGCATTAAATTTACAAGTGCAGTTCCAAATCTGACACATGACATTCGTATCTCGGGATAGCAATTCTAGTGTAATGTGTTGTAACCGTTAAAGACAGAGTGTACAGTATACTGTAGTAGACATAGATGAAAATAAATGTTGTAAGTAGCTCAGTATGCTATTTTTTTCTACTTATAGTGACATTAATAAGTTAATTTTTGACATCTATTTATTGATAGTCTGTGGTTATTAGTGATTGTTTCATTATTTTCTTTCCACTTTCTAAACCAGTATAATATTTATAAATAAACAAATAGCAAAACTCAATCTGAAAATACCACATTTTACGCGACTGTTACCAATTCAACCAATATAAACTTTTCTACATAACCTTCATGAACTCCTAATAACAATTTGGATCGCTCGTACTTTCTAGCTTACAACATATAATATGGCAAAAGTATGGCATACAAACTAGATGCGCTACAGACATGTCCTATCCATCTTTATTTAAACAGGTACGGTGAGAAGATGCGACTGTGGACTCACCCTGGTGACGGCCTGCAGGAAGGCCTGCTGGCCGAGCTGCTGCCGCTGGCGACTGACGGCCGCCTCCATGCGCCGTTTGTCGAGCTCGATGCGCCGTCTCTTTTCTTCTAATTTTAAACGGATATTGTTCAGTTGCGCCGCCATCGCTTGTCCGCCACCCGTCGCCGACTCTTCTGACACCTCCGCGCCATCTGTAATATATCAGGTCTTGTAAGTTCTAGTCAACATGGTCTCTATTAATACGATAATGAGAGCAAAGTTTCTAACAAAATAACCTAATATGTATTAAACTTCTCTCACATAGGATACATAAACGCTTAATCATATCTTATAAAATGTAAATTAACTATTTTTAAACTAAAATTATTGTGTACAAATTATATTAATTCTATTAGATATTCTAAGCTGAATTACTCTGAACAAATTTAGATTTAACAGATACTTTGTAGGTCAAGGATTGACACGTGACATCATAAAATATATCATTGTATACATTTTGCAAAATTAACATATTCCAACTACATACTAAGCAGACTTCTATTAAATTTCTTAAAATATGTAATAAATACCAACTGATATAGGGAAACAATGTTTAAGACTTTAAGATAATTTTCCAGGAAACCAAATTCTCTCACAACTTATACTGTATAAAAAAAAGTCAAGACAATTTGCTAAATAGAGAAACAACGTAACAGTAAAGAGATTAAACAAAATTCACTAACTGGGATGATGTTCTTGTTGCATGAACTGTTGTTGCCACGTGGTTGTATTCGGCGGTGGCGTTGCGAACGTCGTGCTTTTCTGCCTCTCATTCGGCTCGCATTCCTGACTGAACTGTGATTGAAGACCTGTTGATCAATCGATGCTATTAATCAGCCGCTTTGGCCAGCGCGTTATCAACCGTGCGTACTAAAACTACTAAGAAAAAATCGCAGTGTTTATCGTGTCGAAATTTGAACTGATACGATGGGAATATGTGGTCCAGTGATTGCAACGAACACTACTGGTAATACGTGAGAGATTTACAATATAAATATTTAGATAAAATAACATCACGTATTCACAGCAGTGGTGCAGCGCTAAGCTTTAGCATTCCAAGCACGGACACAGAATCAACAACAATCAACAAGACGATTAACAAAATCAACGTTAAAGGACCTAGCTTGTAACAACAGTTATTATATGTTGATATCAATTTGCGCGTGAAACGGAACGCAAGTCGAATCAAGCCAAGTTCTCTAACCTCGATCAGCACAGGCACAAACCTTTCTGATCCCCGTTACTCCTAATCTTATTCAAGTCAGCGAAACTCGTCTTTGTGCAGTCGCCGTCGGTCGCGTCCCGCTCGTTGAGGTAGAACCCGTCCCCGCCGCCTTTGTAGTTGTACCCCAGGTTCTGGTTGAGCGTGATGGTGTCGCTGCTGAGCTGCCTCCTGATGGGATAGTACTGCTCCTCCGCATTCGACAGCTGCCGCTCAACCTTCTGTTTATCTTCTTGCCCATTCTGGAAGTCGCCGTGGAAGAACTGTATGGAGCCTCGGATGTCTTGGCGCGAGCTCCGCAGCGGGGGGTTGTAGTCGATGGGGCCTAGAAGATAATCGAATAGCGTTACACGGCCGTCGGCCGACACGGAGCGCGGTACAAAACCCTTCATGGGGGATCGCGTACTTAATACGAGTGGGAATCATTACTTTAATATAATTATCACATGAGTGGGCGCGCGACCGTCGCGCCCACTGTCTCTCACGCGATGGCCGTGAGTGTAACGATTTCGCGAACTGACGGCGTACATTTGTGCCAGTTATTAGAACGTTTAATGTGTAATAATTTAACGCAACAAATTCGAGTTTCGATAAAGAAAAATATGTTTCTTCACGACATAATATGCAAATAATTACATAATGAACTCTAAAAAAAATAATAATATGTATTCTAATGCATTATAAAACTTGTTATAGGATCATATGAATAATTAATTAGTGTTTTTAGTTTTGTGGAATATCAATACTATCAGCTGATAGTGAAGCGGCTTCTTGTATTTTTTTATAATAGAAAAAACATAACTTTTGTTTATACATTACTTTTCAATCGACTTAAAAAAAAAAGTTTTTAATTCGTTTCTACTTTTAATATGTTTAATACCGCATAATTCCGTCATTTCTAAACTTTTTTGGAACATTATTTTTTTATCTGAAAGGATGTACTTATATATCGATAACATAGAAATTTTATCAAAATCAGTTCAGCTATTTAGTTTTTTGATAAAAAAAAAACTGGTTTTATCACAAATGAAGTCGGTTTTTTATGAAACATAATCTTTATAAAAATAAAAGCATGAAAAGGAGATATTTGACAGCTGAATATTATGAGTGTTTCAACTAATAACTATTTAACTAAAATATATATTTTTATGTGTTTTTCTTTCTATATATCTATTACATATAGTTTTATTATTATTGCTTTTTCCATCAGTCTCATAAAATATTATATATAAAATTAAATATCTATCATAAAATATTTTTTTTAAACTAAACTTAGTAAAACAAGTTGAATTAATAATTTTGTGTTTAATGTCACCTGTGTCAATTTATTTCATAACACAATTGTATAACCTATATGAAATAATCCGGTGTTATTTTAAAAAACATGTTTCATAATGCACTGCTACTTCTTGATGAACATTCAATATTTGAAATATTTGTCTAGTAAATACTAAGAAATATAATATAATCTTCTTATTTATAACAACGCCAAATGTCTAATAAACTTATTTTAGCTATTAAAGTGTTTATTTTTATATCTTTATTCTTTTAACTTATAAAAGTGTGAAATTCTTTCGTCATATTCCTAACAGGATAAGCACAAAGTAAGTTAAATAAAATTATAATAAAGTAATGATTTTTATTTCGTATTTAGTTATAGAATTATCAATATAGATAGTGTTTAACAAAGAATTCTCTTTGAATACTTTTGGTTTAAAATTATAGCGCCTTTTATGTAGAACCTCATGTTCTATGTAACTTTTTTTTTCTTTTTATGAAACTTACAGTGGAAAACAAGATAACGGCTCATCTAATGGAAAAGAGTAAACGGACATGAACATAAATACCATCTTACCATGTCCATAGACAAGAAAAGAAAAAATCAATTTCGTATTTTTTTTAATTGTATGATTTTTGTTATATACCAGTGGCTCTGTTAATTTTGAAATAGTAGACTAATATATAAATGGGACATTTAAAAAAACATGTCTACAAATATTTAAAAAGCCGGCAAGAGACAAGCAACTCCCCTCGTGTTGCAAATATTCATGGGCGACGGTAGCCATTTTTTATCTATAGAACCGTACGCTCTTGCCTCCCTAATAATAAAAAAAAAAAAACTTATAGCCCCGTGTCCAGTAGTAGGTAGACCACGTGATCTATTCAAATTAAGTATCATACGTATAATTACAAGCATTTCTTGCCACGTTCCTGTTTAGCATCCATTATATTATTATATCCAAGTGCTTATAATGTTAAGTTTTATCAGTAGGTGACTGTGTACAATAGTCGACTACTGGGGGGAAAGGGATTGTTAGTGATAGAGACTGAATATCCCATTGCTAGCAATATACCCAACCAGGTCGACCTCCTCTCAGTTCCCCCTGGAAACTATCATGATTAATTCCAGATGAATTCATCATGATGGGCTAACTGGCCTGTTTTCATCCTCATCGATCACCCTTCACTGGTGCCCCGCCAGCGTATCCCGTTAGCGCAGACGAGGTTACCATTCCATTTTCATCCAATAAAAAAAATAGTCGTCTACTTGGATACCTCTGTCCTACCTGTGGTTCTGCCATGAAGCAACTTGCATGGTTGTTTCGGTTTGAAGTGTGAGATATGGTGGTCAAATTATAGAGCATGGACGCATAACGTTATACTTGTGAAGAATGACAAATCATGAGGAGTTGGATGGGAATCACAGTATATTCTGTGGTATTCACAATTTTTTTTTATACAACTCACTCAGTATCCTATAAATTCACTGCCACATCCCACCCTTCAAACAGAACAGTGTTGTTCATTAGGAATGGCTAATATTGGTACTGCACTTATATCTATATATTGGGTTCCTCTGAACAAATGTCATCACTCATTTCAATATCAGCCATTGATATGGATGATATTGAAATCGAAATTAATATTTAATATATATTAATTTTGATCGAGTTCTTCATTTCAATATAATATATTGAATAACGAATTTTTTTTATACAACTTAGAATGGCAAACAAGCTGACGGTCCACCTGATGGAAAGTGGTAACGTCGCCTATAGACATGAGCACTACCATGGACAAAACAGAGTATACTGTTTCGCCCATGATACCTCCCATGCGTTGCCATTCCTGAGGACTCAGGTGTTATTCCTCTGTACCCTGTAAAATCTCACGCCATATCCCACCCTTCAAACCGAAACACAGCCATGCAAACACAACTGCTTCACGGTAAAAACACGAATGGGACAGACTTTTGTACAAAGTCTCCCTCTGGTAGAATATTTAATATATTCGCTATAAATATTGTAACTACACTACATTTGTTATATATTACCCACTCCTGTTCATTTCTATAGACGAACGTAACTAGTTTCTATCAAGTGGGTTTGATAGAAACTAGTAACTTAGCTTGTTTGTCATTATTGTTTCATAAAAAAAAAAAAAACAAAGACACTTGTATATATGTTTATAGTACCTAACGCCAAATTATTATATTAGCCTCCCCTATAAACAATTACAAGAAATAATGTTAAACCACTTGCACTAAATGCAAATAACCATTAGCTTGTTTGCTATTCTAAGTGATAGTGAGTAATATATCTTTGTATGGTTCGGATAAGTTTCAAATTTATAGTAGTAAGCGATGTGGTACAGACCGGCGGGCGCGGAGATCTTCCTAGCGGGCGCGTGCGGTGCGTGCGATGCGAGCGATGCGAGCGTGGCGAGCTCTTTCTCAGGATTGCGGCCGGCGAAGTGCAGGCGGTCCTGCGAGCCGCCGAAGTTCTCCACGGTGAGCTGGCTGTCGTCCGAGACTGAGGAGCGGCGCGAGCGACGGCCCGCGAACGTGCCGTCGGGGCCCAGCCCCTGGCCCGGCCCTCCGGCGCCCCCGGACACGGCCCCGCTTGGTCGCCCTGCCGCCGGCTCGTCCCGCCACCCCGACCCTGTACATAGCGCGCGTACTAATGTCCCCAAATCAACTAAGCACACAAAATTTATGTAATAAATAATTTTCATATACGACTCCCGCAAAAACCATTGTGATCCGGTTTGGTTTATAGTAATAAATTCAATAGGAATAATAAGTAATAATACCATAAAGCCTGATTTCATCCTCACATATATAGCTTAGCTAGCACCGTTATTCACTGGAACCCTACTCATATTTATTATTTGAAAAATTAATAGCACAGGCCGGATTATTATTCTATGTTTATCCTAAAGAACTGACCATCATCTCCGCGGCGGGCGAGCGTGGCAAGCGTGGTGACGGGCCGACCCCGGTGCACGACGAACTCGTCGCGCGCGGGGCTGCCCGGGCTGCAGCTGCGTCGTTCAGGCGTCGAACAAGCCGAGCGGCCGCGGCCCCGCAGGCCCGCGCTCCCGCCGCCGCACGACGACGGCGACCGCGGCACTATATATTGCACTTTATTAATACTCAAATAAGACTCATTTTAAACTAAAAACAAATATTTACAGCTTCTGTTGACATACTTAACGATTTAAACTTTCGGTGGACGAAACTGTGACAAAAACCAATTTCCAAAAGGTGGAGGTGTCAGCACGTTCCTATTGCATTATAGTGCCATAAACAAAATTAGGTATACTTTATGAACTCATGTACTTATTCAATTTAATTTATTATATGATATTGTTCAAACTATTAAATACAACTATGACACAGAAATTAACAAAAGGCAAATATAGTAGATATTACAAGTTAAAAATCTATAATTATTCTTTTTAAACTCAAGAAAATATACTCTAAATAAATTCTATCGAAAAAAAAATTCATATTTTGCATTTACAACTTCATGTGAAAGTTTTTAAACTAGAAACAATAATTTTAAACATATTTCTGTAGTCCATATGTGCAATCGGATAAATCATCATAAATTCACCTTAAAATAAAAAATTGGTAAATAAAATACAAATTAATCGAACACACTTATTATTGGCAAAATTTAGCAAAAAAAAACAAGTACTACAAAACATCAAAACTATGTGACTACAGTGCTAAGTTGTATGAAAACTTGGGAGTCCTGAGGACATAAAGTCAATGACTCCATTAATTAGTGCTGAATTCTAAAATAAATTCATTAGAAAAGAAATGTTAGAAACAGCGCCAAGCTTCACGCGACATGCAAAATAATTACTTGTTAGAAAGCTCAATTATCTTGCTTATAAGTAGTCATTAATTATAATTAAAGCCAATACCAAGTTTATTGTTAATTAAAGCAGTAATAATACCACATGAAAATAAGAGTTGAATAATAAACTAAAACAAAATAAAAACAATGTTTGACAGCAAATTAAAACACCAATCACGACACAAAAAAGAACTATATGTCTATTTTTTTTTATTATATACATAATACAGACAAATAATACAAAATTTCTATGTATTTCATCTTCAATCAAATGGCCAACTCGTTGGCCACGCTCGTAAAATATTTATTTACATATTTGACAGACTATACGCAATTACACATTGTCCCCCTTATTTATAAAAACATGAAACTACTTATAAACCTATTTTAGCCATTGAACTGTTTTGTCTCTTTCTTTTCTATTAAATTCCCAATTCTAAAAGGACAAAATTGTGTAATTGTTAAATTAGATTTGCAGATTTTAGTTTTATGAATAAAAGGGGTATATATTTTATATAATTGCAGGTAAAGTATTTTTTTTTCTATTGAGAAAATCTTTAAATATAATTTTGTTCAAATATTTTTTGACATAATATTTTACAGCTTAAACGATGTACAATGTATAGGAATGTGTTTTTATTAATTAATTGATATATTGAAATTAGATCTGTTTATTGTATTGTATTATTGTAAATATATGGCTGAAAAAATGTTGCCAACATTTCACATTATCACTGGTAAACCCATAATACAACAAACACATAACAAAAAATTTGACAAATAAAAAAGTAGTCGATAAAATCGCTGCAATGGTACGCGAGTAATCTTTCAAACTTAACAAGTATAACTCGCAATACAAAAGCGGTACCGACTGACTCTTTCAGTAACAAAATACATACAGTGTCATAAGTACTTATAAGTTAACATAATATATATTTATCAAAAGTCTAATTCTTTAAGGAATAAATTTTGATTTACCAAAATTCAACGTTAAAATTTGCTTACTATAGCTCGTCAACTTAGTGCATGGCACTCTTCAGCGAGCGTGCGAGTGGGAAACTGCAGACGGAGAAGTATGTTACCCACGGAGGTGTGGCTATAACTAAGAGGAAGCGCATACGATGGTTGGTAAGAACCTCAAGACAACCTCCTACATAAGTCCAAGATAAACAGGTTTCTTCAGGGTCGGCAACACGCGCGTACTACCCCTGTTATTACAGGCGTATATAGGCTACAGTAACAGCTTACCATCAGGTGAACCGTATATATGGTTGTTTGCCACCTCAGTGATATAAAAAAAACTCTCGATCTGTCACTATATAAAGTGTTGAAAACGTAGCTATAACAATAGCCATGGTATATAAGTAATACTTATTTACTTCCATTAAATTAGTATTCATAAATATGAGTGTGACGCTCTGATTATTGGATATATTCGTATTTTACGGGGATCGAACTCCACAAAGATCAGATGGTATGTCAATGTTTCAAATTGCTACACTACCAGGACCATGAAAAATAGACGGGTTTATAGGTAGTGCAAACTGACATTAATATGTACTAGTGACACTGTATGTTTTAAAAGCGAACACCGGCAGCCGTTGACGGGGACAAGAACAACAAACGCGGCGGGGGAGTGAGTGCGCGGTACCTGCGAACGGCGGCAGGGCGGAGCCGGCCTGCTGCTCGGCGCGGAGGTCGGGGATGGGCGTGGGGGGCGGGGGCGGCAGGCAGCGCTTGTGCCGCACGCCGTGCAGGTTGCTGGCGCTGCACGCTGGACACACAACCAACCGACCGCCTCGTGCTAGCCCCGCCGTCACCCTGCCTCCCTCACGCCCGCACCTCACCCCGCCCGCTGACTAGCATTCAGCGGGCGGGGTATAGTGCGGGGGACGGACGACGGGACGTATAGCCTTCGCTCCATTGAGCGTGCGGACCCGCGCAGCAAAGCGAGACAGGGTGACAACATTAGGATGAAAACGTTATTGCGAAGCGATTTATTTTCGTATCTCATCACCTTTGACTTACCTCGATTTACATGTCGTGAATTGGTTTACTCTGTACATACATCAGTATTTAAAAAGACATAATAATATATAGTATGATATAATAAAAATTATGTTTTTGTGCAACATTATTGACATTTATACGATTTGTCCGGAAAGTATCGTATAAAAGTTTTTTAAAAATTTTATTTTACAATTATTCAGGTAAATCAATTTTATCCCCTTCAAAGTACTCCCCCTGTGACATAATGCACTTGTGCCAACGCCGTTTCCACTGTGAGAATCCTTGAAAGTCCTCTGGTTGTAGGTTTCTCAGCTGCCCCGTCGTAGCTTTTTTTATCTCATTTATGTCCCCCAAATGCCGCCCCCGAAGTACCAATGGTTTTTGGGAACAAGAAGAAGTCACACGGGGCCAAATCCGGCGAATAGGGGGGTGTTCGGTCACCGTAATGGAATTTTTACTCAAAAACTCACGGAACGATCTTGGCGCAAATTTTTTTCATTTGAAGTTCGTTTCTTAGAATTTCGTGGACCACGGTTTTGCCCAAATTAAGCTTTCAGCCACCTGTCTGACCGTTAAACGACGGTCCCCATTAACACAAGTTCGAATTCTTTCCACGTTTTCGTCGGAATGTGAAGTGGAAGGACGTCCTGAACGTGGGTCATCTTGAACGCTTTCTCGGCCCTCTCTGAATCTTTTTAGCCACTTGTGGACGGTTGGTTCCTTCACAGCATCATCCCCATAAACTGTTCTGAGATCGGCAAAAATTTCACGGCCATTCTTGCCGAGTTTCGAGAGAAACTTGATTACGACGCGCTGCTCTTCAACGGAAGCGGGCTCCATGCCGACGGGGTTTCGTTAAGAGGTAACTTCACAGATGGCGTGACAAGCCAGTTCGCACCGCACGGCGGTCAGACCAGAACTGAAGCATTGTTAGGGACATAAGGAAGGGGTCCTGCGCTTACCTGGCCTCCCCACTCCTCTTTCTCGCATTCCAGAACACTTTTATACGAACTTTCCGGACAGACCTCGTACATTATCCCGCTTTGCCCAATTTTATCTGTTTTCAATTTATAAGCATTGCTGAGCCGTCTCCTAATTACGGTTTAATAATTAGTATGCATATAGAATCTTTGATATTATGACCACATACTCCCATTAGAGGTCTATTATAGCATGCAATACGAGAACTAGAATTCGGACATGTCACGGAGGTGTATTATTCATACGATCGCACTTACCACTTCCTGGACATTTAACCGATTTCACTGGGTGCACTTCTAGCATATTGAAGAGATCAGCAAGCATTGCTACTAAATTTTGTCGCATTGACCTGAAACAGAGAAAATTTATTTATAATTTAACACTTGGCAATCTGTTAATTGCTATTTGTTATAGAAAGTTTATTGAGTGATTGAAAAAATTACGAAGGGAGCGGGGTTTTTATACCCGCACCTTTCGTGTCATGCCGCATATGCAATACGAGGTCTGTCCGGAAAGTTCGTATAAAAGTGTTCTGGAATGCGAGAAAGAGGAGTGGGGAGGCCAGGTAAGCGCAGGACCCCTTCCTTATGTCCCTAACAATGCTTCAGTTCTGGTCTGACCGCCGTGCGGTGCGAACTGGCTTGTCACGCCATCTGTGAAGTTACCTCTTAACGAAACTCCGTCGGCATGGAGCCCGCTTCCGTTGAAGAGCAGCGCGTCGTAATCAAGTTTCTCTCGAAACTCGGCAAGAATGGCCGTGAAATTTTTGCCGATCTCAGAACAGTTTATGGGGATGATGCTGTGAAGGAACCAACCGTCCACAAGTGGCTAAAAAGATTCAGAGAGGGCCGAGAAAGCGTTCAAGATGACCCACGTTCAGGACGTCCTTCCACTTCACATTCCGACGAAAACGTGGAAAGAATTCGAACTTGTGTTAATGGGGACCGTCGTTTAACGGTCAGACAGGTGGCTGAAGAGCTTAATTTGGGCAAAACCGTGGTCCACGAAATTTTAAGAAACGAACTTCAAATGAAAAAAATTTGCGCCAAGATCGTTCCGTGAGTTTTTTGAGTAAAAATTCCATTACGGTGACCGAACACCCCCTATTCGCCGGATTTGGCCCCGTGTGACTTCTTCTTGTTCCCAAAAACCAAATTGGTACTTCGGGGGCGGCATTTGGGGGACATAAATGAGATAAAAAAAGCTACGACGGGGCAGCTGAGAAACCTACAACCAGAGGACTTTCAAGGAGCCTTCTCACAGTGGAAACGGCGTTGGCACAAGTGCATTATGTCACAGGGGGAGTACTTTGAAGGGGATAAAATTGATTTACCTGAATAATTGTAAAATAAAATTTTTAAAAACTTTTATACGTACTTTCCGGACAAACCTCGTAGATATTGAATATCCGGCATGACAGTGGTGCCAAGTATAATAACTACTGGCAAAACCGCCCCATAGGAGGATGTCTAATTCAGTAATAGACAGTAACGGCTGATATCATCATCATTAACTTCTGATATATCCAGAAAGATTATAAAAAAATGTTCTTACCCGCGCATATAAGTGACGTCCTCGGGCATCATATGGAACACGTTGTGCGGTAGACACGTGTGACAGAAGTCATAGACGAGCCGCAGATTGTGCAGGCAGTCCTGTATGGAGGCCATACGACCCACGCGGACCGCGGAGCGCGGCAGCGCGTCCGGGCAGTAGAATGAGATGAGTGCCGCCAGCGCCGTGCCATCGCACAGCTCCTGGAGGCTCTTCACCATTGGCACCTGTGAGCTCGACTCCTCCTGTAATGTAGCATTTATAGATATTCAAATAGATGTCGCTATTGCATCTTTTTTGCTATAAAATATTTGATCTTATTTTGATTTAAACTAGAAATTTCGATTCAAAGTTTCTACGTAAAATGTATATAAAGTTTAGTTAGTAAATTGACAGAAACAGCTTTACATCTCATATTTTAGAAAGGATTCATAGACATTAAAATAGATATCGCTACATCATAATTTTTGCTACAAAGTTTTTCGTCTTATTTGGGCTTAAACCAGAAATTTCGATTCAAAATTTAGTCAATGAATAGAAAAAAAGAGTTTAGAAATGGTTTGTGGAGGGAAGTTTATCATCACAAATACTTGATAGTGGATTATAAAATTAGGTACAAACTTATTTTTCATATACATTTAGAAATTTAAATTATTACGAGTAGCATCCTTTTGAAGATGAGTGCTCTACCAGTGTAATTTATATTTCCCAAAGAAAGACGAGTCGCGATCTTGCGACTAAACATCTCCCATACTAATGCAGTGCATCCAGCTATCGAAAAAGTAAGGTAGGCAAAATTTGTGTCGTTTTTAGGCAGGCTTCAGAGACTGCTTTGGCAAAAATGTTCTATTACACCGGAAAAATACTCCCTTTAAAGAACGCTAATGATTTCGATGTCTGTGAATTGAGGTACTTGCGTCATCTAATCCAGATTACGTCCTTTCTTAGGTAACATATCCTGTTGCTTTTTGATTCCGTCAAGGAAATTACTCTGTTGACTAAATCCGAATCAAAAGTAACCTAAACGGTAATGAATAGTTGCCTAAAATCGCCTTAAGATCAATGGACTTATAGTCCAAGATCTTTCCACGACAACGCGCTATTTCTTACTGAAGTAACACTTCTGGACGGTGGGAGCTGTAGCATGGCAGACTACAGTCACTGTCTTTATCATAGAGGCAATGAATAAACAAAATGCAATTTAAATATCGAAATGAACTGTACTGTTTCCAGTTAAGTAGTGATTAATAGATAATAGTATCAATTATCACCAGACCAGTTGACAGTTACATTGTCACTGACGATAATAACGCTATAGGCGAAACGGTCAGGTGATATGATATGCAAAACATAGCAATATAGGTGAATTATGTAAAAATAATAATTAATTATTCAACACGCTGTGATTCTTATTTAAAAATGCTAAAATATTCCACAGGTGTAAATCGACGATAGAATGGTTGATAGAAAAAGATACGACATAAATTAAGCTAAAAAAGTGTTAGTAGGAATTAAAAAAAAGTCAGAATTATGTTCTATTACAGCAGTCGAATTAGCATTTAATTAACCATCAATGAAAATAAACAGAATAGTTAGTGCTTTAAATCAAAGTAGTAGTAATTTTGTATTTTAGGCACCAACCCATTTATATCTTAACTGGGTGTATCTTAAGAAAAAGAATAAGAAGAAGATCCTTGCCAATAGCCCAAACGGCTACCATTATACCACGCTCACCGAGTTGGTCGTAACATGTAGATGACAAGTAGATTTTGTTTCACAAAAAATCGATTTTAATCGTGGGTCAACCAGTAATTTTGACTTAAAAAGATAATAATTTGTCATAAAATTTCTATAGCACCAATCTGAAAGTATATCCATTCAAATAAACAAGATTTTCCCAAGTCAGTTTTACATGACGGAGTTGAATGCGGTAACAAACATATAACATACAACCGAATTGAAGACCCCTTCCTTTTTTTGGTGTAATTTGAAAAGGAACGGTGACAATTACATTCTTATATGGCCACCACATGGATAACTCAGATACCTAATTCTTTTTCCAATGACTCTATTATATAATGAAATAAATTTATACTTCTACACTAATATTATAAAGAGAAAAGATTTGATTGTTTGTTTGTAACGGATAAATTCAAAAACTACTCAACCAATTTTAAAACTTATTTCACTTATAGAAATCATACTTATAATATTAACTAGTAAAATACACATATATTATCTTCGAAAATTGTATTTACCCGTACGAACCCGAATTGCATCACTAGTAAGTAATAAAATTAATCAAAATATTAGGGTGTTACAACACACCTCTGCCTTGTTGAGTGCAGCGCATGCGGCGTTGATCCAGCACAAGAGACCGTCTTCGTGTGGAATGTTGGAGGTGCCAGGTAAAGGTTGGCTGATGCCGAACCGCTGCGCCGCCGCTGACACCCGGTCCAGCGTGACCACTTCCCGCGCGTACAACACCATCAGTGCTTCTATCACAGCCATGTGAGCAGTCTGCAATGGTAAATGACACCATTGGTAGTAAAATACCTTCTTACTAACCCACTAACCTACCACTACTGGCCACAAGCCTCGTCTTTTCAAATAAAAGGAAGATCATAATTTCAACCGTTAACTGTTCAGTGCTGAACATAAGTCTTGCTCATATGGGGAGCTTTGCCAGTAGTTGTCACATTTGGCAGCGGTTTTTTTTAATAATCTTCTATCATCCCTCACTTGTGCCCTGCCAGTGAGGGATGATAGAAGATAGAAGAAGATGAAAGGGCAGATCAGTTAGCCCACCATGATGAATACGCCTGAAATTCAGCACAATGATTTCCATGGGGGATCACGTGAAGGTCGACCTGACAGGGTATATTGCTAGCAATGGTACTAGTAGTCCGCATTACTAACAATCCTTGCTGCTATTACTGGTGCCTATCCCTGTACCAATCTCTATACCGGCACCACACGTGTGTTTCTATTAAGCAGCTTTGCAGGGCTGAGTTTCGATTTGAATAGACACTGGTACAAACACATAAGGCCTTCGTGCTCGAGAATGACAACGCATGAAGGGTATATCATTGCGTATTCGTTTATGTCCATGAAGCTGTTCATGCTACTTTATATCAGTTAGACCATAAGTTTCAGTTAGACCATAAGTTTGTACGACATTCTATGTAGCATTTGCCCCGGGAATAACAACGCATGAGTGATATCATGGACATCATCGTGCATAAGTTAATGCCTATGATAATGTTTATACTACTTTCTATCTGTTAGACCATAAGTTTGTACGACATTCTATGTGGCATGACGATAAAACTCACCATTTTGAGAGGGTTGGTCTGTATAAGAACGGTCTCGGTGAGCGCACAGTCCGGCGGATCTGGCACGTGGACGCCCTTCCTTGCGAGCGTCTGCAGGATGTTCCAGTGGTTCAGGCTGTGGTAATTCGGGTCCGAGTACATGTTGGCGAGCGCCAAGCAGTAGAGCTCCGCGTTGGCTAGACCGCCTACTATAGGCGGCTTTAGGTGCTCCTGGTCCTGGAAACAAAATTATTTTTCTTTATTTGACGTAAATTAGTGCAACTACAACTATAACAAACAGTAGCCATCTTAATTATTCTTATTGTTTTGACGACTCCACCTATTTTATATTATTCGACAATATGCCGAAATGCACACACAGATAAAGGTAGATAATATCACACATATCACATATTGTACACATACACATTTATACATACATTATATATATATATATATATATATATATATATATATATATATATATATATATATATATATTAGATATCGGTTATCCAATATATAATATCGAAAAGACGAACTCACTTGTAATAAATATAAATATCCAAATGGTATGGGCGATATTGCAATGGGATGTCATCAATATCCAGAAGAACTTAATATATAGATATTGGATACTACCCATCACTAGTCTGAGCTGTCACTGTGTTCGAAATATTTTATTCAATAATTTTCTAAACGTATATAACGTATCTTCCATAAATGTCGTTATTGGTAGCATATTTCAATATTTTATTCGACAAAAACAACTACTTTTATAGGTAAATAAATTTATATGGGACTATTCAAAACTGATGAAGATATCATGGAAATATATAGAAAAATCTTCTATTTTTATGTCTTGTATTAGGTATTGCACCTACGTATGGTAAACAACTCCCCAGTTTGTTTATTAAGACTTTTTTTTTCTAATAAATGCCAATTAATTGTAATTTTTAAAATATGTTCTTATTTTATATTACAATAATATTTGTATATAATAGGGATTCATATCCAGGGTCGTAGCTAGACCGTAGTTTAAAGTAGGGCAAAATAACTTTTTGGTAGGATATGTTAGAAGCCATAATTAAGTTACTTCGAAAAAGCGAATTTGTCTAATTTTCTTGAGGCATTTCTAATTTTCATTTTAAGGTAGTGCATTGCCCCTCTATGCCCAGCTATGGCCATGGAGTAAACCTATTTTTTTTTTAATGGACGACAATGGAAACGTAACCCTACGCTAATGGTTGTTACTCCGGTTGGTAATCCGCGTTACTAATAAACCCTTCCCCCCTCTGAATCTGACTATTATCCCCTTTATTCATAAAAACAAAAAGTTCTACAAACCAATTTAACTATTAAAGTATAAGAAACTCAACTATACGACATAAGTTTAAAAGCCAAGAGGAATATTTGTCATATGAAAACAATTTTGAAATCGCATACATGTTTATCGTGGTAAGCCAGCTCAAGAAGTTAGACAAGTACTAAGAAACTGTTCAACAAAGAGCACGACCTACAAGTACAACGTAAGCAAGTAGGTATATCACACGAGCTCGTCTTATGAGCGACGGCAATTTACAATATAATCAAATAAGTAAATTAACAGTAGCTTTTAGCAGAGTATAAAAGTTCTCTACCTTGCTTTTGATCTTTTGTTAGGCGATATCAAAAATTCATTCTCATATCGTTTTATATTTTTTTTTCATGTGTATGTTACGCAATATCTTCCTATTACTGGACCGATATAATAGGCTCGAATCGATATGCTTTATATGCGTGTCATTATATATAAATTATGTCACGATTAAAATATTTGCTTTGGAGCAAAATCCATTTTAACTATAGTTCCTTTCTTTCTTTTTCTAGTTTAAACGAAGTAGCAAACCATCATTCACTGAAGTTTACTGACGTTTTAGGTTTTTTGGAGTACGTTTACGTACCTTTGAAACAAATTTGTAGATAGATACTAAAATTAAAAATTATATTTATTTGTATACTTTTGTTTTATATTTAGACAAGTGTTTACACTTGAGATTTTATTAACTGTAACAAAATCATACCCTCCTTTTTACTTTGCCGTAGTCAAGAAATAAAAAAAATTAAAATAGGGAAATCATATCCTAGTTATAATTCTCCAATTGAAATGATTTCAGTATTTATACCTGACAAACACACTATAATTTATATTTTATTTCCATTACATTTGTACTTTGTCATCTGAAATTTCTGGAGATGGAGATCTCTGTAAAAGAATGAGCGATGCGGTCATTATTTAATATTCCAAGACGAATCTAGATCAATGTTAGGTCGTGACCCATTTTTAAGAGAGCTTATAAGCCTCTTATCGGCTCTTGAGATATCATATAATCTTTTAGACCCATTATAATGTGGCAATAGATGCAACTTTATACTATCTACAAACTTTAAATGTATATACCTACAAAATTATTAATTTATACTTATATAAACGTACTAAACTGATAGTTTTTAATGGACGATAATGGAACGGTAACCCCGCCTACGCTAACGGTATACACTGGCGGGGCACCAGTAAGTGATGATAGATGAGGACGAAAAGGTAGGTCAGTTAGCATATTGTGATGAATACACAAAACTATCGTGCTTAATGCACGATAGTTTTCAAGGGGGACTACGTGGAGGTCGACCTGACAAGGTATATTTCTAGCAATGGTGCTGTTAGACCCCAATACTAATGATCCCTTCCTCCATTAAGGTGGTAGTATAATGTCTCAGTGTCATTCCGTATTGCTAAAATCAAATCATTCGAGGGAGATATCACGTAGGGGGAAAGGGATTGTTAGTATTAGGGGCTAACGGTCCTATTGCTTTATTACTAGTAATCTACATTGTCGACCTCCACGTTGTCCCCCCAGGAAACTATCATGGTTAATTTCAGATGTATTCATCACGATGGGCTAATTAAGTGGCTTGTTTTCATCCAAAACTATAATCCCTTATTGATGCCTCGCCAGCATATATAGGACAGCTAGATCACCAATCCATTTTCTTCCATTAAAAAAAATACTCAACGAAATAGACTGGCAAAGACATGGATAAAAAAAAAAAATAGAAATTACGTTATTCTCTTTCTACGGCCAATGACAAAATATTATCAAATTGGGAGTGAACATTGCGTGACATGGCTGTGGCATTGAAAATAAACTAGCCTCGACGGGTGTGGTCAGACTGGTATAATCATTATTGTGACGTCACTGGATATTTTTAACACCTTTCGTATACATTCAATGAAAAATGATACATGTCATAAAATTCATCATCAACCGTCGCATGCTCTAAACAAATAGAATTGACCTGCCTACCATGAAAACATTTTGTAATCTTAAAAGCAAACGAAATACAAAATGTTACAACTAACAAAGATATGCTATTAAAATAATTAAAGATTGTGTCCTACAAAAAAAAAACTTGAATTATGTAAAAACTAAAGCACTGAATCGATTTTGATAAAATTTCCATGGGACGGATCTGTTAATATAATCCGATATCACTCAGATAAAAAAAGAAATTAAGAAAACCGGTTTAGAACTGACGGAGTTACGACGTACATTGAAAAAAATATACAACTAACTTGAGAAATTCCTTCTTTTTGAAGTCAGTTGATGATACAATATCGATGATTCGGATGTTCTGCAATGGGATTTAAGGAAGGTTTTGACGAACAAAATGTTATATCTACGGGTCCAATTTCAGTGTGAATGACTCTTTTTGGTTAAAATTTGAGTCCGAAATCTCGAAATTACATTTCATGATAGCCTTCCAAACTACTTTTAGCAGTATTAGTCAGCATATAAAAATTGTAACATGTTAAATTTTTCATCGTTCAATCGTAATCAATAAATATTTAAATAACAAATTATTTCCCCGTTATTATTCTTATTTATGTGTAATATCAAATCCAACACCGATATGGAAGTAGGTAAACGAGAGGCCAGTTAGTAAAAAATACGTAAAACTGGTTCCGTTACAAAATCGAGCATTACGACATAACATTACCATCTCATTGACCATGGGCCGCCGAAAGACACCAACACGTGAAATATGGACTAATAATGAGCGTGGCCCCGATTGCTCATACTTTTACCATGGCCCCTAATCAAAACACATTTCTATTAAAAATTAACTGATCCGACAGATGCTGTCCTATACAAATAGTTATCTTTTTTAATACAAAACCGTCTATTATATACATTTAATGAATATGGTAAATAAGAGCGGCCCTTTCGATTTAATTAATTTATATGCATACCAACGAACAGCTTTCAATTTTTATTTAAAAAGATATCGCTAGTAAAAAGTCCAAATGTATAATATCAAAGCAAATTAATTCAAGAGACGGCGGTAGGTTCGCCCACTGACACTTTGGTTTGGCATATGTTCCAGTGAATACGGTTATGTCTAATAACATTCGGCATAACCATATTTACTACCCCCTTACTCCATAAAAACGTCAAACCTCTTATGAACCTAATTTATTTATTGGAGTGTTTTGTCTCCATTTGCCAATTACGCAATTCGAAAGGCATTGACAAAATAATAGAATAAGTTTATAGTACCTTTTAGTTTTTATGAATAAGGGGGTTTAATAGTCAGCTTCTGTTCAAGTATTCTTTATTAAATTTGGCATACATGCACTCCCTGTATATGTATGCCAAATATAATGATGACCACTTGAGGTGTTAAGACGCTAAGAGGTAATAAAAAAAACTCACTTTAGATTTATAATATTTGCAAACTGCCAAAAATTATCAGAAATAATAAAATAGAAGTTAGTATCAAGTTAGCTCCGCATAGCAACATTGCAACGTGTTCAATAATGCATACTACGGACGTCATCAAAAGCATATCAAACGTGAGATCATCACATTCAGGTCAAATGTGAGACTTTTATGGCTGATTTAAAATGCTCTCTGACGTAATGATGTCAAAGATGAATATCTTTATTTTTATATTTATTATATAATGGTTAAAAACAATTACCTGCGAGGGCTGTAACCCTCTGTTCTGGTGTGGGCACGTAATGCGCAAGAATGAAGAGCAATTATTAAGTATTGCCGTGCGGTACCGGCATTGAATAGGTCACCCTATCCTTTTCCGTGGGTGTCGTAAGAATCGACTAAGGGAACTTAATGGTCAAGGAATGGGCAGCAGCGTCCCTCTTAAAATATCACCAAAGCCTAACTACAGTTGCTAAC